GGGGGTTCATTATCGCCGATCCAAGCTCATACACGTATAAACAAAATCATTCACGGTTTAGAAAGTTCTAACGTGGGCTGTAACTTTGGCACTTTGGGCTCTTCAATTTAGGCCTACTTGCTGTCTTTTGCCATGTTGTAAGACTCTGAACTTGCAAAATTTCCTTAGTGCTAATAATTCTATTAGAAAGGGATGATTCAGATAGAGGTAGAGATCAGTTTCTTTTTTTAAAAAAGGGTATATTTCTTTTTGATTCCTGGCTCCAGTGAACATGGCTTTAGGCTGTATCCTTAAAGACTAAATACTTTAACCTATACATTCATGCATTTCACAGTTCACTCAGCGGCAAGTGGGTACTTGGTAATCGGTAGAGACAGAGTGTATGATGAATAATAGCCGTGGGCTTTTGTGCCTTACATACAGCAACAATGTATGGAGTGTAAAAGCAACAGCAAGAGGCAAACATACTGCACAATAACGTTTTCATTGGGGAGGGGATTTAGGACGGGGCGCCTATTCAGACGCGACAGACCCACCTGATATCAAGAAGTTACCTGAAGTAAACGACCGACAAAGAAGTACAAGCTCGATATTTGATTGTTCCCGTCTACATTTTTGGTTGCTAAATTTTCTTTTAAAAAAGACAACTGAAATCGTGACCTAACTTATAGAGTATTCTCAAAGACTCTTTTTGAATTCATAAATAATTTGTTTCGGGCTGTAGTAACTTTTAAACTTCTCCTCAAAGCCCCTTGAAATTGTGTGCCATAGTCAATATAATGTATAGATTATAGAAGTGTTTAATTGTTTATCAACAGATGCACACTCACGTCTCTGTGACGCGACCCAGCCCATCAGAGTGGACTACTGCAGACTGTTTGATAGTTTGTGTGAAAATGGGAGATGCATCAGTTTGGAGGATTCATTCAAATGTGAATGCAACCCAGGCTTCAAGAATGACTCTCAAGGCAACTGTGTTGGTGGGTAAATAGCATTACTGTCCTACATCGGTTGTATTTTGTTTGCCATAGAAATATTAGGTACAGAAAATCATTGAAAATTGTGCAAATTTATCATGTATAAAAAGACGACGTGTAAAATTTACATTATTGTTACTCACAGCAATCCTAAATCGTTGATTCTAAGACAGTTGGAACTTTGAAAGATTTAGCCATTTTGTTCTGTGCTTCATCGCTGGCATTTGTATCTGCGACGTTGGGATTTATTTTCAATATTCTTTTATCAGAATTAAAAATCACATTGTCTTTAGCCCTATTCAATTTATTACAATGCTGTTCCACAAGTTGGTAAGCTTTGCTAAAGTTTTTCGGCATTAATATGTTGGCGTCTGATTGAAAAAAAAATGTTCTACTTCTTCGTAGATATTGATGAATGCAGTCGTCCAGGCATTTGTAGAAATGGACGTTGTGTGAACACCAAAGGAGGATTTGAATGCAAATGTAATGATGGATTTGCCCTCTCCAAGGACGGCACCTACTGCACAGGTATTCCATATAATTAATTATTGTTTGTTATCTTGTTGTGCTACTCCTTAAGGAATTTGTTGTTATGGTATGGTAAGTTCTTTTACGTGTCACCAGGTTGTTATTGTGGTTCTTAAACTTTTCTGTTATGTATGTTGCTGATAGTCATTCATCCCTTTCACTACCATGGGGAGTTATTATGTAGATTGTTCAGTATTTAGTTTTCTTGTTATTCAGTTATACGACCGTGCACATTTTGTCACTTTTTATTGGACTTGTTAGATTAAAACGTAGCAATATGATTTGAATAATAAATGTATCTAAATGAAATGGAAGGCCATTTCTTCATGTGCATAACTTTAATAATGATTAAGACGTGTTGCCTGTAGAGTATTCTGATAGAATTTAGTCAAATTTATTTCATGTTTTTCCCCATTCAGACATGAACGAGTGTGAGACTGAGAAGATGTGTCCCAATGGCAGATGTGTAAACATGGATGGCTCCTATAAATGTATATGTGATCCTGGGTACAGGCAATCTCCAAATCAGCAAGTTTGCTATGGTGAGTTCACTTTGTAACTAGAGTAATTTTTGAAATTATGTATGTTTTATTTGTTTCTGTAGTGGTTTCAAAGCTTACTTTATCATAGCTTTAATGAGGAGCCACATTGACTAAACTGAGAAAAAGGAATACCTTCATATATATATAGGTTTAGGCGCACCAGAGTCTGATTCAAGGATGGTGGCATCAAATTGTACACTAATACACATTTGATTGTTACTTGGTTATGAATTTAATTTTGAACATATTTCCTTGGATGATTCTATTTCAAATTGCATTCATGATAGATATTGTATAAAACAACTTGGTTGCCCTTGTACAGTGAAATCTTTATGTATCTTTTTGCTCTTTATTTTTTATTATAAAAAATTATAAGCTGTTGCAGTAAGCAAAGAGTATCTACATAAATTCGATTCCCATGTTGGGAAGAGATTTTATTGAAGTTTCTAATTGTTTGTGGTATCTCAAACTGCTCAAGATGACCCTGGCCGGTAGGGTGATAACAGACAATGCCCAAAATGATCTTAAATGGGTTGATTGGAGCATGTTGTGCCTTCTTGGTTTGTACAGGATAACAATTTTTTCCCAATCATCCATATTACATTTCAGATATCAATGAATGTACGGAAAATGGACGCCTGTGTCATAATGGAGAATGTGTAAACATGGAAGGAAGCTATCGGTGTCAGTGTAACACTGGTTTTCAGCTGTCACCAGATGGAGCTTTTTGTTTAGGTTTGTATCTAAATTTTTGCGTTCTGAGTTTTTATATCAAATGACATAAGTTTAACAAGCGGATGAATAGCACCTTTTGTTTGTTCAAATTATTTGCCGTGTTTTCTCTGTGAGTGGTGTGTGTGTGTGTGTGTGTGTGTGTGTGTGTGTGTGTGTGTGTGTGTGTGTGTGTGTGTGTGTGTGTGTGTGTGTCCTATCACCATAGAGCAGCAGGCCATTTTTGTCAATGCCATTTGTTTTGACCCAAAGGATACAAGATGGAAATGCACAACTGAGTGAGAGGATGTCATTAATCTATGGTTGGGGATGTTTTTGGTGAGTTTTGTTTTGCCAATTTGGGAAGTTGCTATTCTGAACGTTTTTCTAATCCTTGTTAATTAGATGGGTAATGTACATGTAGTCTCTTACAACAACAGAGATATCCTTTTGATCGTAGATGCATCTTTTATCTCTTAGCACTACTGCTGTTATTGTTTTCTTTCTGTTGTGTCATGACAGAATTTCCTGGTTTTGTTCTCACAGATTATGATGAATGTAAGAGAACTGGCATGTGCAGCAATGGAAGATGTAAGAACATGATGGGAAGCTACAAATGTATTTGTAATCCTGGCTACATGCTTTCATCAAGCGGAGAAGTCTGTATTGGTGAGTAGGTGTATTAATATTTAAGTTTGACTCTTTATTCTGAACTAGCGATCTGTTGTTTGAACTATCTTTTTTTTATTTCAATGAGTTCAATTTTCTTACTAGCGATCTGTAGTATGAACTATCTTTTTTATTTCAACCAGTTCAATTTTTACTTCATCAATCTTCGCACTAGAAGATCTAGTCGTATTTTAGCTTTGATGGTTGGTATAAATTTGATCCGTCTTCCTAATTTTTTTAAGCTAACAGAAATATAGCTCTTGCTTATTACTAGAATTGTTTTTAAAACGACAGTTTTATGAGCAAATATTTGAAGAGTTTCAGACAGTCAGATTGTCTTTTAATATTTTTACTTTCCATCCCTTTTCATCCTGCGCCTGTTTGATCAGTACAGGAATTTTGTTTCAAATTCTATGAACAATGACCATTTACAAAGTACGAAAATACATCAAAAGAAGCAACTTAATTAACTGTACATTTATCTATATTTTTCTTCTCTACTCGTAGATATTGACGAATGTAAAGCAGAGCCAGATATATGCACAAATGGCATGTGTATCAACAATCAAGGAAGTTTCCGGTGTGACTGCCCTAGAGGTTTTGTTCTTGGGCCTGATGGAAGAACATGCTTGGGTATATTTACTGCTGACTTTTATTACGTAGTTTGTCTAGCTATTTAGTCCTATTCTTGCACATATGGCTGATGGGTCCCATGTGGGGTCTGGTTCTTTTACTTTTGATAATTTCTTGGTTTTTTTTTTTTCATTTTTACAATATTATTGTTCTCATCTGTCCTCAAAGAAATATGTGCCTGTGACGTGCAGTAGATTACTCCTCACGGATACCACGACAAGTCAGTCCATGTCGAAGGACTGAAATCCAGCTTTTAAGGGTCGCAATAACTTGTAAGGAATACATACCCTGAAAATTTTAATTCAATAAAAAGAAATTGTTTCTTTGAGTGTGTAAATTTTACTTTTTATGTTTTGTCTTTCATTGAAATGTGCAGGTAGCCTACTGAGACAGTAATATTTAGATAATGTGCTACATTTTATTTCTCAAGGTTATTGAAATTTAGCCTTATTTTTACATCCCTAATTGTGCCTTTAACACATTGCATGAACATAGTTCCTTATCTAGTTTGCTTCTGTTGGTATCTGTGTCATTGCTTTACACCTATTTTGTTCTACTCTAGCCTTGATAGGAAGATGCTAAAAATGTGAGAACCATTCAGTTTCAGATGTTTGATTGGACAAAACAAAATCAGATTTTGATTTGCTTGAAGGTGATACTGTGGATGGAACATTGTTGTCAAATGTTTGTATGCTGCCAAGGTTTGATAGAGTAGAGTTTATTGAATATCCACCATTTGTTGTAAAATTGATTGTGTTCAATTATATCTTTTTTTAAAACTATTGATAATCGCTTTGATCTTGCATTATTATTGTTTTTATGTATATCAAAGAAATTATCAAGCTTTGCTTTCCTGAACAGATATTCGCCGAGGTCTTTGCTACCCTGATGTCAGAGGAGGGAGATGTCTCAATCCCTTGTCACGCCTCATGTCCAAATCAGCATGCTGTTGCAGTTTGACTTCTCCTGGACAGACCTATGCTTGGGGCTCTTCTTGTGAATCTTGCCCTAGAATGGAAGATCCTGAATTCATACAACTTTGTCCCTATGGAAAAGGAACTGATCATGATGGAAAAGGTGTCTACTTTTTTCACATATGTTATCACTTTGCTTAGTAGGTTTCGGTTTTTTTTATTATGCTGAGTAAAATTGTGAAGAAAAAAAAAAGAGAACCAAAACTTTTTAGTATGCTATGGTATCATGTTAGATATCTTAGATTCATATGTTAAAAACTCCTTATAGATTTTTGAATCTACAGAGTAAGTGATGATTGTCCAACATAAATATTGTTACTGTAATGTATTTCTTGTACTGCTTCTAAAAATGCAGTTTTAAAGAATCCAAAATCTACCATTTCTTTCTTCAGACATCAATGAATGTTTGCAGCGACCAGACATTTGCACAAACGGAATATGTGAAAACTTGGAAATGGGGTACCGATGTATATGTAACCAAGGCTACAAACCAGATGCTTCTCGTTTACGGTGTTTAGGTAAGTGCTTACTGAGAGTTGTCATCTTATACAAGCAACGTAAGAATTCTTCGTGCAAGATATTTGCCATTGGGCAATTTTGATTGTCATATTCACAGTGTCAGCAGACAAATTACGTACCCCTGATTCTATAGTCGCTTATTATAACAACTGAACCAACTTCAATGTTTTTATTTGCATATGTCTTGAAGAGGTTTCTTTTTCAAAGTATCGCTATATCTTAATTGAAAAATAGAGACAGCATTTATAGAATAGCAGTTTGATAGACTTGGTTATGTTTCATGTCTTGGGTTTTTGGAACATGTGAGCAGGGTCTTTGGTATATAGTAAATTTGCAGTTTCTTTGAATAATATTTTATTAATCTTAAACTTTAATTTATGACAAGCATCTTGGTTGATTTTCAGATGTCAATGAATGTGAGGTAAATAACATGCTTTGTGATGGAGGGCAGTGCCGGAACACACCTGGGAGTTACCAGTGCATATGTCCCAATGGCTTCTCTTTCAATGTGCGGACAAGAATGTGTGAAGGTAGTCCTGCAGAGAAGTTTTGTTTCCTTCTTACGTCTTTGTTGGTGAGATAACAGAGGACAGGTTTCAAACTTATCTCTTAGATAATTTAAGTGTTGTTAGCCAAATGTATCTATCAAAATAATGCATTATTTAATTTCTTTGTCAAGTTCTTAAATAATGTTTCATTTTTTAAAAATTGATCAATGTTAACATTTGCAATTCTATTTTAACAGTATAAGTACATAATTTTCCTGATTTATTCTGAAGTCATTCCATCTTGAATGCTTCTCATTGGTTATGTCTTGAATAGTTTTTTGTGCATGGAGCACTGGCTGTTCTTATTTGCACTATAAGTAATGAACTTGATCAAGCTGGCAAAAGTTTGCACCTTAAGTCCAGAGTCAACTGCACCATAGTCCAACATGATGCCAGCTGAGCTTTCAATGAGTCGTGTAATATGGTTCTACTTTTGGCATTATAACTTCTATTCTCAGGTCAAAGAGATCATGAGGGGTGAGCTGTCAAACGATCATATTATGTTAATTTTGATGTATGTCGTAGCCTTTAAAGAAAGGAGTGACAAATATTTCTGTTACTTGTATTCAACCAGATCAAAATGAATGTGAGAGTGAGCCTTGTATTGGCGGAGACTGCATAAATACCAAAGGCAGCTTTAAGTGCAGATGTCCAAGTGGGCGAATCTTGGACACTACAGGCCGGATCTGCATTGGTAAGTGAATATTAAAATTTGATGTAGTAAGTGAATATTTGATCCTCAGACAATGCTTCTAAAAGCTTGGTCTTGATATAGTTACCCATTTGCAATGTGATCTAATCTTGATTATCATCAATCTATAGTTTATTAGAATTAAGTCACATTCATAGTCTGGTCATCAGAGAAATTAGATGTTTGTGAATAAATCATTTAAAAATGTGCTTAGTTTTGATCTAGTGTATTCGTATTCATAAACATATCAAATTATGCAACCTTCACTAAATGTTTGTTCACAGTAAAGCTTTTACAGCCTTTTTCATATCAATGAATAATGACAGCAGTGAATGGGCTGAATTGTCTGTTTGGTCTGCTGTGGTGCCACAATGTTGCCAAATTACTTCACAGTAAAAGTGAAATAAAAAGAACATCATCGATTCTTTGCTATCTGTTTTAGGCATTAATTCTTCTCAGATTTAAGAAAAACTTATCTGTTTTATAGACAACCGTCAAGGTACCTGTTGGCTCAACATCATCAATGGAGACTGTGAGAACAACCTTCCAGGCATGCTGACCCAGTCTGAATGCTGTGGATCTGTTGGAAAAGCATGGGGCAGTCCTTGTGCTCCTTGTCCTACTCAGAGTAAGCTTTAAATGATTTTTTTTTCAGTTCTTAGTTGTTGCATAATTTTATTGTGTATGTTATTCAACAGTTACGGGTAATCATTTTGCTTGTTCCAGCTGGATCACATGCAAGTGTACAGGAACTCAAAGAAAAATCTTAGATAACTTTAAATGTAGAATACATTGTTCATCAAACTATGGTTGAGCTACTTATGTTTTGTCTCACACCAGTGAAAGCTAATACATATATATCTAAACCAAGATTGGGTGGTTGGATGTTGCCTGTGACTTTAAGGATTGCCCACCTTGTTTTGGTTGACTTGATCCTTTCATGGAGCTTACTTCTTGAATGTTACAAGTATAGAAATTTTAAAAATTTGCATGTGGAATGAGTTAATTATAGTGCTCCAAAAAGAGAAATCTATCAGTGTTATTTTGTCTTAAAAGTGTTTAATATACAAAGTCAACTATAATAGATCTTTAGTTTTATTTGTTATCCTGAAGTAAGTTATGATTTGAAATGCAAAACAAAGAATTCATATATTGTGGTCCATAATTTCTCCATTTGTTTCTATAAGCTTTTTATATTTTGTCGATAATATAAATGAGTAGTTTAATTCTTCAACAGATAGACCATCCCTCTTAATGTCTTCCTCTTCTGTATACACTTTCAATATAAAAATGTGGTCTCATCGGTTCAATTGCTCTGTGTTAATGGGAGGAGTGACCCTTGAGGACCATTTTCTATGTTTGTTGCCCAAGATCGAATCTAAGTACATATGTGTTTTCCTGAAGAAATTCTGGTTACAAAGTCTGGAATTAACTTTTTTCTATTCTGTTATTCACAGTGGAGCTTCATTGTCCCAAAGGATTCACATTCAAGAATGGCGTCAATTGTGTTGGTGAGAGGATTGTGTTTTGTGTTAGAAATGGAGGTTTTAGAATGCTGGTGAAGAAGATACTCTTTGAGGCACTTTTGCTTGTTGTTTTTTTTCTGTACGTTGAGAATCGCTTTGAGGATTTTATTTAATGTAAACACATTAAATTTTAATAAATTTATTGCAAATCGCAATACTTCTTCCTGCTTAATACGTAATGACAATGGACAGTGCAGTTTGCTTCTATTTTCATAATATTTTTGTCCAAACTAAAGATTTGGTTCCACTTTTTAGAAACTGTGTAGCTAAAAGTTGCTTTGAAACTTGAAATCTGCTATTCTGACAGGAAGAATCTGGCTCTGACAAAAATAAATTATTATAATTAAAGGTTACTGAAAATGAGACTCTTACTCTCCCAAAAAATTAGTGTCTTTACCTGTGGTAGTTTACCGTAAGATGTATATGTTCAAAGGATGAAATGAGTAGGGTCAGTATCTGTGTGGAGGGGGAGGGGAGATTCAGTTAATTCTTAAGGACTCACCTCAAAGCATTTGTTTATTTACACTGTTGCTCATTAGATGCGTGTAAAAATTTCTTATTTTGATATGAAATTTTTGTCCTCAGATATCAATGAGTGTGAGAGGATCCCCAACCTGTGCAAGGGAGGTGGCCAGTGTGTTAACACAGAGGGCTCGTTCAAGTGTACTTGTCCCTCGGGTCTCTCGCTAGATAGTACAGGCCGTCGCTGTGTGGGTAAGAAAGACTTCCCTGAGCAAATATTTTGAAAATTCTCTTTTAATGTATGTTGAAATATTTATCAAAGGTTTTTATGTGAGATCATAGTTTGATGTTTGTGTGGTGGAAAGAATGTTAAGAGTTCATTTTCAAGGCAAGGAAGTGGTCCTCAGATTCCCTAATAGTCAATAACAACACTTACTCACATATTAAGAGTGTCTACCATTACACTAAGGCTTGACGAACTTTGACAAGGAGAGATTTGAAGTTGGTATTATGCTCGATATGAAATTGTCTCGACCTTCCTGAAATGCTTTTGTGCTCAACATGGTGTCTTTGAAAAAGACCCCCCCGAAAAAGAAAAAAAAACGGCTTTTAAAAGGCATGTACTGTGTCTAGTAAGGTCCTTAACTCCAACTTTCCAAAAATCAGTCCTAAAGTTCATGATAAAATGTTGTTGGTAATGTGTTTTCCCATTGATAATTTTTTTCAACAATTTGCCACTGTCCACAGATTTGAGGGAGAGCAACTGCTACCAGGACTACTCACGTATGTTCTGCTCCCGCCCATTCATGGGAACCTACACTAAGTACGACTGCTGCTGCTCTATTGGAGCTGCATGGGGAGAGCCTTGCTCTGGATGTCCTATTCCTGGCTCAGGTACGTGTGGTGGTTGGAAGTCAGTATGTCATTTCTTTTCTTTTTTTTTTCTTTCTTTCTTTATAGAAGGCTGTCATGAACCTTTGCATTCTTTCAGTCTGTTCTGGTTCTGTGGTAAAAAATAAACTCCACACTATCAAAGTTAATAAATTCATTTATTTTTAATGTGGTTCCACAAGACCTTGTAAACTTTCATATTGTGTTGGGTGGTGATAAACAAATGTCTTTGTCACTTTATTCTGTCACAGAGGAAGCTTACAATTGCACATTTGTTTTCACACTTTGCGAATCGCACAGAAGTTGATGTCTCATAAATATTGATTGCAGATAATTTTCAACACAGCTATGGTTTGATGATGTGAATAGCCAGTGAGTGTTAATGTTTCTTGTTTGAAAGGCACAACACAGAATTCATTTGTATAACTGCTAGCTCATTGTCTCTCAACTTTCTAGGGGGGTTCTGTCATCACTTTTCTTTACCAATACCCCCTTCTTCCAACCTGCAAACTTATTTTTATCAAAACATCCTTAGGCTCAAACATTTTAGCTAAAGGATTCAGTTTGATAAGTGTCAGTGATTAAAACTAAACTAATGAGTATCAATGCTGTGAACATTTTTTTAAATGTACTTTCTCTAGAGCATAAAACTCTCAACACTACTGATTGAAGGGACCCATAGGTTATCTGGTTGCTAGTGAACAGATAACTTAATTTTTTCAAAAGTAAGTCAAGTCATTAGCATGATGTTCCTTACTCTGTCTTGCTTCTTGAATTTTTCACATCTATATTAGTATTTTTAAAAATAATTTATTACTTCAGATGTAACGCTAACTTCCTTGAAATCTTGCTCCGGATATTATACTTTGTGTACATTGTGGAATGATTATTGTCTTTCTCTTTTAGTTCTACTATGAAGAAAAGGTTGTCTTATATTTTAGCTCGTAAAATAAAACCTTGTCTTGTCTTTGCTTCAAAGAAGTAGTTTATATTGTATATTGACAGATATTTGTCATTGTTGAAAAAGAAAAATAGACATTTGGAGGTGAAGCAATGATAACACTCTTGAGAATGTATGTGAGAACAATTAAATTGTCTCTTTTCTTCTTTAGTTCATTTAGTTTTGCTTACTGTATGTTCTTTTTTTTCTTTTCAGAGGAATATATTGCTCTGTGTGTCAATGGAGGAGGAGGAGGAGGAGGAGGAGGAGGTGGTGGTGGTGGTGGTGATGGTACGGGTCCTGAAGGGTTTGGAGGTAAAAGATACAACCTTAACTTTTTTACTCTTTCATGCATCAGTTTAAGGGCAGAACATGTTTATTACAATAGGTATTTAACGTTTCCCTTTTTAAAAATAAATAAATTCAAAGAATTTGTTTCAGTCTAAAAGAATACAAATTTTTCATGTATTTTCTGGGATTGTTAAGCCTGTGATTGTGCACTTTTTATAAGTGAGGAAAAATGGGGACTTGAATGCCCAAATCAGAACTCTTTCAGAAAGATTTAGGGTTCTTTTAAAGTGATGTTATTTTTTTGGCCTTGGTAAAGAGCAGTGTTTGAACTTTGAGTTCCTTATTTTGCCTTTTTTATCATAGACTTGCAGTTTCTATGTTTCCAAGTTGTCTACATCGTTGTTTTGTTGTTTTTTGTGTGTTTTTTTTCATGTTTTATTTTAATTTTCCTACAACTACATGCAATAGCAGATAAGGAAAATTAAATGTTATAACAATATGTATTTTTGAAACCTCAGGGGGGGGGGGGGGGGGGGAGCAGCAAAATAATGTGTGATTATGACCATAGGATATAAGTACAGCTCAATGCAGTTATTTAAAACTAATTTTATTCAGAAGTGTTATAATTTGCTTTTACATATTCTTTTCAGATATCAATGAGTGCAGAAAGTTCCCTGGCCTTTGTGTGAATGGCAGGTGCAGAAACACTATCGGCAGCTTTGAGTGTGATTGTAATCCTGGTTATGCTAGTGACAGCTTTGGAACAAACTGCACAGGTCAGGCATGGAATTGAGTTCTTCGCGCCTGACAAATTATGTGTTAGAGGCTTGAGACATTCTCATCATCATCATCATCATCATCACCTTCATCATCATCATCATCATAACAATAATAATGATAATAAATAGCATTTGTAGAGCACATATCAAAGTACAACAAGAAGCTCTGTGTGACTTACAATCTATATTATTACCCCAGCAGATCCTATAACACTCAAAAACATTCTCAGCTCCTGGGAAGCTTACAGTGCAAGCAGCAGAAAAAGCACTCCAACACTTCCACAATGTCAAAGATAATTTTTGAATGGCTAAATTGGAAAGAAGAGAGGTCTGGGCCGAAATGAAAATATGAACTTGATGAGAAAATGTAGAGGAAATAACCATGATGAAGATGAGTTGTTAAGATGGTGTGGAAAAGCTGGAGAACTATGGTTAACAGATGCTGTAAGAAAAAGAACCTTTCTGGTAATGACAATGGCACATCATAATAATTGGACACATGAAGGACTAATTGCTACCTTAGAATTACAAAGATTTATCTGACATTTTTGGCTTTTTGAGTTACTAAGACCATGAGGTCAGAAAGCAAAAGCTTTTTTATATAAGAATATTTGGAGTCGTTATCAAGATATTCAAAGAATTGCATTGAAAAAAAGCTTAGCATATTATGAAAATCAGAAATTTTTAACATCAAATTTCTTAAAATTAAGTATTAAGCAGATAAAACTTTGTAATTTTTAAGTAACGTAATGTCCCGCTTTACTTTTGCAGAGGTGTTATTTGAACAAGATTGTTTCTGCAGTTGTTGAAGTGAAGGATTTCTATCATTGGCCAATATGATTTGTCTGCTGTGCTGCTGTTCTTTAAAGAGTCTTTTGGTATCTGTTATAAAAAGTGTTAGTAAAAGTGTTAACTTAGAAGGAATTTGTCCTTCTCGGATAAGTGTAATTCATTAACTTAGTTCGTTGTTTGTTATTAGCAGTAATATTTCTCATTTTAAGGCTAATCCTTTTGGGTTTTTTGGGTATTGATAGAATTTAAAAAAACTTAAGTTACTCTTATTTTATGGTTTCATGATGTTTAGTTTCACGTAAATTGTTTTTCAGATATTGACGAGTGTCGTATTTCAATGTTTGACATCTGCACCCCTGGAAGATGTATTAACGAGCCCGGAACCTTCCGCTGTGATTGTGGAGAGGGCTACAAGGGAGTCATGATGAATCAGATGTGTGTCGGTGAGTTCCTCAGACAAGTAGGACAACTTTGAAACATTTCGCGATGAGAGAAAACCTTTTGAATTTAAGAGGCAAATCTGATCTTTTTTAGTTAGAAGAATGAAACTTTATTTTTAATCGTCTTTGTATCTCCTTGTAATTTTTAAAATTGTGTTTGAAAGTTTGCTCTGTTAACCCTTTTCAGAAGGACAAGTTTGTTTTACTTTTTTCTCATTATGTTCTTAATAAATCAGAAGTGAATGTGTGCATCTGGGTATTGGTGAATATGTTTGTATGTATGATATTATAGTGCAGTTTTGTTGTTGTTCTGAAAAAAAAAAAAAATATCAGTTCATTTTTTCTTATATCCATTTCAAATGTAATTTTTTCTTTTTTTAAAATTCTACACTACCTCAGATGTGAATGAGTGTGAGGAGAACAAGACTTTATGTCGTGGTGGCAGCTGCATGAACTCTGAGGGTGGCTACGAATGTGTCTGTCCCGATGGCCACGAGCTTGCTGATGATGGTGTCATGTGCAAAGGTAAAAAGCATCTTTAGATTGTTAACGAGCTCCTCCAGACTTTTGTCAAAAGGGAAGACCTCAGTACTTGGAGAGAGAAATGTAACTGTAAATATTCTATGCCCCCTTTCAACAGAAATTAGAGTTTATGAAGAAAATGGGCTGCTCTGACTTTGCCTACGAGGGACAGTCTGGGCTAAGTGGGTATGGTGTTTCAGCAGGTAGAGATACATGATGTAAAATCTTCCTGACACAAGAACTAAACACATATTTTATACATACTACAGTGGAGTGCCTAATCATAACACCACAGATTAGAAGACTACAACACAATATTACTCATAAGCAATCCTCATAATTTTAGTGAACACAAAGCTGTCCCAAGTCCCAGAACAGCTTTCTTTGAATACCAGAGCTACATGTGAACTCCGCATAGCTACAAAATGAATGGTTTTTCTTAGGGTTATCTGAATATGAAAGTCCATTTTTGTAAGCCTATCAGAAAATGTTATGTATTCTCTGTTTTTCTTGTATTGATCTTCACCGACTTGCCGATGCTGAAGAAAAAATTATGAATTTTCAAGTCTGAATTTGTGACTTATATATATTATAATTATGTGGTCAAAGCCCATAATTCAATTGGAGAGATGTATTACCACAGGTCTATTTCGAATCACTCGCATGTTTTGAACGCAGAAAAGTATGTGAATGGTTTGGGAGGGGATTTCATGGCCAGTGCCCACCATCTTGACCTGTCTTGTTGGTAGAGTCTGTTTTTCGATTAAAAAATTTTTTTGGCAACTATGACTATGTAAAAATGGTTATGAGAGACATAGTTATGGTCTAAAGATGGAGCAGGCCATGAAACAGGATGAAGGTAAAACTCTCAGTCGCACTGAATGGAACGATGATTGCAACTGCACTTTTGTGGAGTCCCGATAAAGAAGGGACTTAATAAGTCTTTTAATAAATCCATTATTCATCATTATTGCCCTGAATCACTTTTTTTAACCTCATTTTGCTTGAGCTCCTTATTTTTATAACTTTCTGTTAGTCGATTGGATCAAGGGGTAGTTTTTAGCTTAGTGTTTTATTTTTCTTGGATATTTGATTTACTCTCTATAATATTGTCAGCAGTTCTTCTTCTTCCTCGTTCTGGATGACAGCAGCTAGACAGTCATTGTCAGCAGTAATGCTGAAAGACTTTTTTCGTCCACTGTACAGCAATATTGGTGTTTTCTTCGAAGTTACTCAAAAATGCATGATGTTATGTTTCATTTATGTCTCAGAAAATTCAGCTATTTTTTTTAGTAGTAGCTCTACTCAGTGTCTGCCTCTTGCTAACTACGAGAGTATTATTGACAGAATTGTATGCTGTTTTTTAAAACATGACAGATATTGATGAGTGTTCTTCAAGTAGCAGCATCTGTTCCAATGGTCACTGTGAGAACTTCATGGGAGGATATCAGTGCATCTGTAATCAAGGATATCAACCAAACAATCTGAAGTCCATGTGTGTTGGTGAGTGGACATAAATATTTAAGTTAGATTGAAAGGGTAGTTATGATTTAAATGTAACATGTATTTATTTCACCTCCCTTTTTCCCAATTCATCATTTTACATCTGTAACCTGATTGCACCTCTAACTTTACATGGTATCTGTAAACCACACATAATAGCATTTTCATTCCTGTCTTTTTATTGCCCTCTTTTTTTCTGCTATACTCTGGAGTATGATTCTTCTCTTGTTCAACTCATGTTATACTGTTAGAATAAAGGAATTCCCCATGAATTTGTTTCCTCTTCTTTTATTGTTGTTTTATGGTACTAATAATAATGATAAATAGCATTTATACTGCGCATTTCCATTTTCTAAAAGATGCTCAATACGCATTACCACGAAAAAGACATCACATCTTAAAAATTAATTGATATGCGTGTATGTAAAACAAAGTATTATGCATATAATATAAATGCATATATGTAAAAATTTATATGAGAAAAACAGTCTCGCAGTGAGGCTGGAAATGTGTTCACTAAAAATATACAATGCAATAAAAATTCACGGTACTCTCAGTATCTGAAGTCTGGCTGTGTATTAAGTAAGAGCATATTATATAGTATGAAATCTTTTTTCAATGTTAAAAGAAAAACTTGATTCTGATAATTCTAGTGACCTAGTTCTTTACCGTGCTGTGGTTGTCTTTGCTTCTTGGGAAAATGTGACTTTTGTAGTGCCAAGGTGGCATTAATATGAACTTCAACTTCTGTCCTCAGACAATGATGAGTGTGACGATGGTAATGGAGGTTGTCAGTCTGTATGTGTGAACACACCTGGTAGCCACACCTGTGCTTGTGAGGCTGGTTTCTTGCTGCTCACCGATGGCAGATCTTGCGTTGGTAAGTAACGCCAGTGTCGGCGCATTGTCCAACCTTAAATATCTTGCTTTACTGAACCCCTTTAACTGTGGGCTTTGTTGTGGGTTATTGTGTACTGTCTGATCCAATTGTTTTAGTTGTGTGCCAATTTTTCAAGCTTTCTCAATTAATGATTTACCCATTTCTTGAAAGAGAGTGTGTTTATTGTTGTGAGTGTGTGGATATTATAAGTTCATTTGAAGTTATCATTGGATGTAAATAAAGGAAGAAAGAAAACTTTTGTGTAAATATGTCAAAGACAAAAATTGTGTTACTTTCTGTTTGAAGATTATAAAGCTTCTCTGCACTGTGTTTGTAGATGTGGATGAGTGTAAGGAGCAGCCCAATGTCTGTGATGGAGGCCGCTGTGACAACCTGCCTGGATCCTTCAGGTGTTTGTGTACTGGAGGTCTAACTGCTTCTCCAGATCAGAAGCGTTGTTTGGGTGAGAATTTGATTTGACACTTTGTTATTCCTTTTTTCTTTGTTTGCTTGGCTTTTATTTCATTGTCTTTGCAAAAAGTAATTCCTAATCAAATACTAGTGAATTCTGTTTTCAAATAATAAAAATTGTGTAAGAAATAAGTCTAGAGAGTTTAGAGATTCCTTTCATAGATTTCTTAACGACTAAGACAGGCCTGAGAACAGGTTATTCAAGACTCTGCGACCAATACATAGTCTAAATTTCAAATTGGGGACTCTCATACCTGGTGATGTGATGCCCTGGCACAGAAGTTCTTTCTGCTAGAATGCACATCCTTTTAGCGCTATACGACCTATTGGAGGGGTTTTGATACACAGCAGCATTTGTATGGTCTTCCAGCGCCTGGTTTGGTGAAAGTCAAAGCAGAAAAAAGTGATGTTCAGAAAGTTTAAATGATATGGAAAGCTGCTGGTGAAGAAAAGATTATTCTCATGGTGAATGTCTGTCTTAACTCTTCTTCTGTATGCATCTCATTTTTATGTTGGTATTTCAGCTCCACCTTTTTTAACTGCGGCCGAATACGCATCTCCAGCTCGCTTATGAAATCATTAGTATTGACTTTCCTTCACCTAATGTTTTTGGGGGAACTAAAGGCATGTTGGTGAAAGAGTTATAATGATACTGTTGCTTCATGTGACCTGTTATAAAATAGTTAAGAAGTGGAAAATGTTATGTCTGGCTATGATGAGAATGTTGTTTTAGTAAGTGTTTTAGGACACTTGCAACACAGTTGTCTCGTATAAGAGCTGAAGATTAGAGGTATAACAAGAGAGTAAACAACGCAAAAAAGAAAAAGGAGGGATACAGACAATAGCTATTTGATAAGAAAGATGGAGTAAACCACCCCAGAGCAACCACCATCCACCCACCTGATGAGAATAACATAATGCTCAAAAGTGTGAAGATTTTTTCCTATGCCTTTTTTGAAGATGCACATTATTCTGTGGTGTTATTTTTAAAAATCATACTTGTTTGCTATATGTTGATAATATAATGTCTTTTTTTTCATATCATGTTCTTGCAGACATCAATGAGTGTCTTTTGAACAAGAATCTGTGCTTGAATGGACAGTGCCAGAACACACATGGTTCATTTGTGTGCAAGTGTGACATTGGATATTCTGTCAAGACACAGATCAGAGCAACAGGATGCACAGGTAAGGCTGGGTTTTAATTTTCAGTGCATGTTAATACTCATTATACTTGTACATCAGTAGTCTTTGCTCTGTTACCTCTTTATCTTCAGGTAGGCATTAATCAGTTACAAAGACAAACAGAAACATTTTGAAGAACTATTTCTAACATTGACCATCCTCTTATCATCATATTTCTTCTATAATGATATCTAGATACTTCCACCTTTTGGTGTTTGTGTGTGTGTGCTTAGTATTCAAATCTTTAAAAAAAACAACAACAAAAAGCAGCCTTGCAACTATTATTCTGCTTCTCTCTCTCTCTCTCTCTCTGTCTCTCTGTCTCTCTCTCTCTGTCTCTCTCTCTCTCTCTCTCTCTCTCTCTCTCTCTCTCTCTCTCTCTCTCTTTCTCTCTCCCTCCCTCTCCTCTTTCTTTCTCTTACTCTCTCCCTCTCACTTTCCTTCCCTTCCTCCCTTTGTATGTGCATAGAATTATTGTTCATTTGTTGTGTGCAGGGTTTTTTAAAAAATTGGAAACTGATACAACTGCTTTGCTTTCAGATGACAATGAATGTGAAATGGATGTGTCTGGCTGTGATGAGAATGCCGTGTGTATCAACACTCAGGGATCCTTCAAGTGTGACTGCAAGCCTGGATATACAGGAGATGGTTTTACTTGTAGAGGTAAAAAAGACAGGGTTTTTCATAATTGTTTTATACTGCATTCTTCTTAAATATTTCAATACCTCAAGTGGATCTACAAAAGAAGCCAACAACTTTCTTTTACACACAGGAAGTATATCAAGTTTGAAACTAAGGAAGTTCAACTAGTGTATTATTTCATTTTCTGTACATACTGTTTCTTTCTTATGTACTTTATTTCTTACTACTAGATCTAACAAACAGAATGTTTCACTATACATCTATTTTTACATAGGATATGGGAATCCTGTTTTGTTGCTGGGGAAATATATGAAAGCATCCAAAAGCGAGCTCAGACAATGTAGTTGAATTGTAGTTTATCTGTTAAGAAAATGCAGCCAACATTTAAAAAATACTCTGTCTGCTACATGACTGTGAATGTCTCATGAGAATTGAATTTCTCAACAGATATTAATGAGTGTGTGACCAACAATGGAGGCTGCCACAGGGATGCTGCTTGCATCAACACTCCAGGAAGCTTTAGATGTATCTGTGATGAAGGATTCAGTGGAGATGGATACGAATGTGAAGGTATGGTTACGCTTAGGGTGCAGTTAGCATAATTAATGTTTACCGACGACTGGTATGAATTAGGACTTATATTATCACAGTTTGGTCACCATTGCTCTGTCCTGTGCCTCAGAATCCTAGAAAGACTAACTTTGTCAGTGTTACCAACAGCAGTCTGTTTACTTTTTTTTGGGGGGGGTTTCGCTCTCCTCTTCACTTCTCATGGGCTCTACTATTCTTTTTAACGTCTTTTGTTGTTTATGTTTGCATTGCTGTGTGAATGATGGTACACATCTCATTGAAATTCAGTTTTGCTTATTTGTGGTCACACACATCTGCAGTACTGACCCAGTCTCTTCTATTAGCAGATAGAGGCTGTCAGTCTCTTTCGAATTTATTAGTGTACTTACCATAACCTAATACTGAATGTTTCAGTAACACTTCAACCTTAGTTTTAGTTTATTTTTTGTTTGTGTTTTCCTAAGTTGCTTTATACATTTCAATACCGGTATTTTCAGATGTTGATGAATGTCTGCTGGACCCAGGCCTTTGTGAGAACGGCCAGTGTTACAACTTCGATGGAGGGTATAGGTGTGAGTGTGACATGGGATTTGCTCCAACAGATGATGAGAGGGCTTGTGTTGGTGAGTTTCTTAAAATTCATGGTCAGCAATATTATTTGAATTTTTTAATAATTGGGTCTTTTTTTTAGTGTCACTCTTGAGTGATGTTATTTATCATAGTCTTCCATGTGTTCTTTGTCTTTGTGGTTGTGAGCAAACTGTGTCTTATAGTGCTTTTTGTTTTGACAGTCAAGCACTACAAATGTAGTACAAGTGAGCACTTAAGGAATTATTTATGGGGCTTTTACTATGTTTGCCATCTTGATTGGGTATAATTTTTGTGTTTCATTTTAACCTTACGTGTTTGTGTCAATTTTTTTGTTTAGTTTTTCCTGCCTTTTTAGTGTGTGTGTTTGAGAAATGTGCATCTTTAAAATTTAGATTTGGAGAGGTTTTTTTTATACCTGAAGTAAAAAGAAAAAGAAATAAGCATTTTGGTGGTTCTACAATAAATTAATGTGAGTTATACACCAATGCTCCTTACCGTGGTGAAAGTATCATTATGATTTTTAGTGTCTTAATTGAATTTAAAGATGATACTGTCTTGAAAATTTGATCCTTTCAGATATCGACGAGTGCACAATGTTCAGGAACCTTTGTGTTAACGGCCAATGTGAGAATGTGTTTGGTATGTTCAGGTGTATTTGTAACCAAGGTTACAAGCTGGATGACTCTGGAGGAAACTGTACGGGTAAGAATGTGTGCTATGTCATTTATGAAAAGAACTTTTTAATGATGCATTTTTTACCCTCTTGTCTACATGGCATTCTTATAAAGTCCTGACATTGTTATTAGTACTTTGAAAGTCACAAACATTATCTTGTAGTTTTGTTAATTTTTATGTTTTAGTCACTTTCTCTTGAAACTGTATTATTGAATCTGTGTTCTCCTTTTTTTAAAATAAAAGATTATCAATGTCCATGTATAGTGATTAACCTTAACTATTTTAATATTCACTTCCACATATATTTAATGATCATTTGTGTTTGTATAACTGAGTTAGTAATCTCTTTACTTTTTGTAAGACGAAATTCATTTTCATAAATAGATTTCTATGAGCATTATAAAAAAGTAGTGCCAGATTTCAGCTGTTTGCGCAGTCACAATTTATGTATGTTTGTAGGTGTATGTTGCACACAAAATCAGAAACTTTGCATCCACCTTTATCTTCAGATATTGATGAATGTGAGAACCCTGACAACTGCCAGTATGGTACCTGTGTCAACCAGCAGGGTAGCTACATTTGCCAGTGTCCACCCAACTTTGAAAGTAACCCCACTGGAACCGGATGTGTTGGTGAGGGAGAAAAGCCGAGATTTTTTTCCCCCTTTTTTTAAGATTAATATGAAATATAGAGTGCTCCAGAACAGTGATGCAGTGCAGGTTTAAATTAATTTTAATCCCTCTTACCATCTTTTTACTCTATAAAGAGAATTTAGGGATGTGTACAAATGAGCAATTTAGTCTTGTTAATCTTGTTTCATGCAAAGAAAAAATTAGCTGGAAAAAAAAAGAACTGTTTTAGAATGTGGTGTCAATATTATTGTTGTTTGTCTCAATCCGAGACTAAAGGGAACATTGTTTTCTTCTTTATATCATGTTATGGAGATAGTTAAGTACAAGGATCATTCAGTGATGGATATGTTGCTAAGTTTAGCAAGTGCAGTAGAGAGAAACTTTGGAAATTTCAGTGTCCCATTTATGTATGCATTCCAGACAAACGTGTGGGCTCCTGCTATATGGATGTGCCACTTTACTCCACTGGCCGTGCTGGCGTCTGCAATGACAAGATCGCTGATGACGTTTCTCGAGCCTCATGTTGCTGTACTATTGGGAGAGGTTGGGGAGAGGTCATTGGCTTCTGTGAGCCGTGCCCAAGGAATGGCACAGGTGAATACCTTCTTCTTTCTCTGTGATCTCTGACAGTGGCTTTAGGATATAAGTCCAGCAGTGTTAAAGGAGACTATTTTCAACAGTCCTTCCTTGTTGCAGAGGGAGAGTTAAGTGTCAAAGTCTTTGTGTTCTGGCCATGTTGATGAGCTCACAGTCAAGTAGACCATTCATCGCTGCAGGATATGCTCCAGGTGTCTTAATTCTAGTGAATAGATGAAAGGATGTAAATAACAAGTGAAGTTTCTTCAGGGTCTGATAAGGACCTTAGAGCCAGTACTCGTCTTGATTCCCATTCCTTGAAACTGAGTAAAGTTTATGAAGTAATCTATTAGACTTTAAAGTAAACGAGAAAAACAGACTTTCTTTTCTCTAACTTGACATTTTTGCAAGGAAGTCAATTTGTGTTTAAAGTTTCACTGCTTTACAAATGGACAGTCTTTTAAAAAAGTAAGTAATTAAATTCTTTGATGTGCTGCTGACCTATGTGGTGTGGCCTTCAGGCAAAAGAATTCTCAGCCTCTATCTTTCAGCAAAAATTCTTTCATCCTCAAAGACAAATATAAGTGATTGTGTGTTTTTGAGATCCTGATTAAAATGATAATGCTTGCAGAATTTGTAACTTTTAATTTATTTCACAGCTGAAGCTGCTAACCTTTGCCCTGGAGGCCCAGGCTTTAAGCCTAATCTCATAACTTTGGTGTTGGAAGGTAAGACTTGAGTTTTAGTGGACTTTAGAATGGGATGGAGCAGATGCTGCAATTACATACTCCTCTCTCTCTCTCTCTCTTTCTCTCTCTCTCTCTCTCTCTCTCTCTCTCTCGCACTCTCTCTCTCTCTCTCTCTCTTTCTCTCTCTCTCTCTCCCCCTCTCCTTCTCCCTTTCCCTCTCTCTTTCTCTCTCTCAGTCTCTCTCTCTCACCCTCTCTCTCTTCCTCTCTCTCTTAGAGGTTGATGTGTAGTGTAATGACTTGCCATTGCTTATGGAAGCTAGCTGTCATCATGCACTCTTTCATATGTAGGCCAGTCCATGCCTCAATATTGTCAGGTCAGTCCACATTGTATTTTGTCCATCCTTAGCCCTTTTCCTTTTACCCAACATCTTGCCTTTGAATGCATTTAAGTAGGCCTACATATTCCTCCAGATCTTGAAAGAGAATACAGTGCTTTAGTATTGATCTGGTTATTTAATGTTTATGCATGCTTTTTGTTGTACAGTTTTCCGAAGTGCTTAGTGAAATAACTGCAGGATAGCCCCCATATAGTAAAAACAAATTTTAGACAGAGAAGCAAGCAAAAACTCTTATCACCTTCAATTTGTGCAATATGATGGGTAGGCCTACTCTTTTTTGTCAGCTTGCAAATCTCAAATTTTAGGATCCTGACACAAGATTTCAGTTCATTACATTTGTTGGAGTGCCCTTAAGTATGATATGCCTTTAAATGAGTAGGCATACATCTGGAGGAACATTTGTTTTCAAAGCACAGTATATTGGTTTGTGTAAGATGGCTTTAAAAAATATATGCAATAAACATGTCATGCGAGTTGTTCCAAACCTTCCGTGACAGTATGGCCGGTAAGTGCTCTTTTGTGATGGCTCTGCTCCATCTACTCTTTTAAATGCTGTTATTATTATTCTCTCTGGCAGAATGGGGTCATTGTGCAGACTTTCAGTTCACTTTGACTTAAATTGTGCCAATGGGGTCGTAAAGACATCTATATTTTAAGAAGATCTACACAGCTCACTTCTACCTTCATTGACATGACATCTGTGAATTTAATTGTCTTTCATCAGATATTGATGAATGCGAAGAGATTGAAGGCCTGTGTGAAGAAGGTGAATGCCAGAACACATTTGGTTCCTATGTGTGCACCTGCAAGGATGGATATGTACTGGATCCATTCAGACAGCGATGCATTGGTAAGATTCAAAAATGAAAATTAACGCATGTCATAAGGAAATATAAAGTGTTTTTCACTGTTGAATTATTTTGGTGTGTTATTTTCATCTCTTTACGAAAAGTAAAATATCACTGACAGACTTTTGGCTGGCTCAACTGTTTGAGTGCTCATTTTGTTCACCTGAACTGTATCTTTGTTGAGTTGATCTATTTTAGGTCAAGTTGTGAACAAGGATTTTGGGTACCAAAAAATTTTCAACAAATAATATTCGTCTTGAACCTTTTTTCTATATACAGAATTCTAATTTGAAATATGAATAACAATAAGATAATGTTTTGAAACTTTTTAATATGTTTTTTTATTCTTTTATGATGGCCACAGCCTTTTTGAGTTCCTTAATCTCTTTGCCATTGTCTCTTCATTTGTATTTGCATGCTTCTGTTTTTCTTGCACTTTTATCTGTTTATAAACGTTTTTTCATTATTTTAAGGGCAGATCCGTAAAATACCATGAAATTAACTTTCTGTCTCGTTAAAGTATTCTTTGTGAATGCCTAGATCATTTACTGACACAAGCAATGTTAATTAGTCTTGCGTGAGCTGTTCTTTTCTTATGAGCAAATTCTTTATCATATTTTATATAATTTTAGACATTGATGAGTGTGAGTCAGATCCCAACCGCTGCGGAGTGGGCCGCTGCATCAACACCGAGGGAAGCTTCCAGTGTGTTTGCCCTGATGGCTACATCCTTATGGACGATGGAGAAACTTGTATGGGTAAGGAGAGTCTTTTGTATATGTCTCCTAATGGGATGAATTTTACTCTTGGCACTATATATTCTGTCAATGGATGCGTCAGTGTCATTTGTTTAATCTTTCTACTTCTTTCTCGAGTTTCTATTCTCTATATCTCACTGTGGTAAAGCTTTTAGTGTTATTGTGCTGGCTTTTTATGAACATCAACTCATTTCAACTTTGACCTTATAATACATTTTACAAACTATTTATCTATTTGTTTCTGTGTTTTGTGTCTTTTTGCTTCTTCTCGAACTTCAACTGTACGGGTCCACCAAGACTAGAGTTCTAAGTGCATTCTATTTCAGGGTAAAAAAGTTTTGACAATTGTTATTAGAGCTCTGCTGTACAGTACATATTATGTTCTAAAGTGTCTAGACACTTGTTCATTATTGGGAACACCCATGTTTGATTCTGTACATGGAAATATGATTTTACAAGTTTTTAGTGTCTTTTAATAGTTCACTTACTTTAATTCTATTAAAAAGTGAAACAGAGGTCCCATTTGTAATATTTTATCTCGTGGACAGAAGTCTTCTTTCCCCTCCTGAATGGGTATTTTTGTATGTGAGGATGTTTCATTTGTCCTGTTCTTTTAATGTATGTTAAAATGTTCTAATGTTGTGGATCTGGAAAGTGTGCCATTGGTCACTTTTTAAAAACTGTACTACTTCCATTCTCTTTTTCTAACGTGCTCTTTTACATTCCTGAATCCAGTCTCATTTATTTCACATTTACTTTCAACCTCCTAGACATGCGAAAGGGTAACTGCTACAGAGAGTACTTCAACGTTTCCAGCAGAAATAATGACATTGAGTGCACAGATGCTCTGACTACAATCCAGACCAGGTTCCAGTGCTGCTGTTTGTTTGGCTCTGCTTGGGGAGAGCCCTGCTCCGCTTGCCCAGCCAGAGGCTCTCGTGAGTTGAAAATTATGAAAGTTCTGTGGTGGTAACCACATTTCTGCTTGTGTGTTTCGGGGGGGGGGGGGGGGGGGGGGGAATGTCGGATATTGTGCCACCAAATGGGGGGCTGGATGGCTAATGTTACAGTGTACCATAGGCTGAGTGAAATCGTGAAGAGGAATGTCTGGAACACTACTCACTTGAGTAAGACAAATTAGGATGATCCTTTGGAGAGGAGACTAATAGCCAAGTAGTCTTTCGCCATAAAGTAAGGCATGTCACTTTAAATTTCCTTGTGAATCTGATTAAATCACATCTCACATTTTGCGTAGTGGGCAAATTCCATCGTGACAAAGTTGACCATCACTTACTCCTTTGCAAAAAATATTACAGGACCTGAGATAGTACTTTCTTCTATCATCACGGACAATCTACAGTAACTTGTAGGTTTCACTGTATCTGTTTCTGATTTAGAACAGCAACAGAACTTAGTAGACTGCACATTGTGTTACATAACAGTAAGTGGAGGAGTAAAAGAACAGAACATACTTTATCTGAAATTACCCTGAAAGCTGCTGTTTCTAGCAAACTTGTTTATGAATACTGATCAGTGCTATATGTGCAATATTTGGGGCCAATGAGCTATATGGCCTAAAATTATTGCAATCTGAATTTTACAAGCTGTGCTTATTGGCATAAAGGTTACATTTGGTTCTGAGATATGAATATCATCTTGGCTTGGTTTGTTTGTTGTTGTTTTTTGTTGTTGACATTTTTTAAATTGCTGTGTTTTAAATTGTTTTAGTGTCTGGTTTAGTGTATTAAAAGGTGCCTTTATTACTTTTGAGTTGACTTTGTTTTTTATTTTCAGGTTTACCATTTATATTGGATAAGTTTTTACTTCATAGTTCCCTGGAAGATGTAAACGATGAAAACTGGATTTAAAAAAAAAAATTCTTTGCTGTAGTCATTGAAATGTCCCTTTAACTTTTAAAATTTGGAAACTGATATTTGAATGTCATAGGCACTAACAATAAGGTACATCAAAAAGTTTAAGAATGCAACTATCATTTTGAAACTGTGTTTTGCTTCATTGTAGATTATCATTTTTTCTTTGATATTTTTCATTTACAGGAGAGTTTGAAGCTCTCTGTGAAGAAGGACCCATCAAAATTACAGGTAAGAGTCAACTTCTGGTTGTAGATGTTGTTTTTTAAGAAAGATATATATTTGGTCATTAACACAAGGTCCTTTATTTGGAAATTTTATCATAACTCATTCTCGGATGATTTACCCACTGACTTTTATCAGTTTGCTTGTAAATATATTTTTGACACCAGCCAGGATCATAGCTTTCTTTTATCTATGTTAGATTATTATGGCATATTGTAGGTTTCACTGGTATCTGTTGGTACACTTTTAACATTAATTTTTTGGCATAACTTCTTCTATTTAATGAATATGATCGAATGTTACTATCATACCATCTGCATTGATTTAAGCTTTCATTTTTTGTTTACCAGTTAGGCTTATATAACTGTAGCATTATTGTCTTGCTAGTGTTTACAAAAAATCCATTTTTGGATATTACAAAGGCATTGCATGTTTTTTCTAATACATTCATTATTTCAATGATGTTATTTTTATTTGACAGATATCAATGAGTGTGAAGTGAACCCAGATTTGTGCAAGAATGGTAGATGCATTGATCTTCCTTACAGTTTCCGCTGTGACTGCTTCAGTGGATATGTCTACGACAGTCTCAGACAAACATGTGAAGGCAAGTGATATGGTTTAGTGAAGTCTGTAGGTGAGAATAGTGTTACTTGTTTTTTAACTGAACTTATATAATTTGACAGCCTTCTGAATTCCATGTCATGTCACCTTTGCAGAGTTTTAGTGTTACCTTCAGATTAGCTTTCTGCTTTATTTGTTAGTTATAAGGAAACTGGAACTAAGCGCAAAGCAATAGAAGACGTGATTTGTCTTAGTATTTTCATTAGAAATGTATATTCTATTCTCAGATGACAATGAGTGTCGTCGTGACATCAATCCATGCTTGGGAAATGCTCAGTGCATCAACAACCCAGGCAGCTACTCTTGTGGTTGTCCTGACGGCTACAGGTTGCGGCCTGACGGCAGAAGGTGTGAAGGTGAGAACTTGGACCTATCAAATCTGTTTCACTGTCATTCTCGTATAAGATTTTTATGATATATTACTTGAGAATCATAATATTCTGACCCTGAAGAGAAATTTTAAAAGATTCCTACTTGTTCTGAGCGCCGAATTGTACCGCTTACAGTCTCTTTCCTTAGAAAGCTACATTCACACCTTCATCACCATGGGTTTGCCAACATACTTAGCGCTTACTTGTGAACACACGACCTGGAATTGTATAAGTTTCTGAATTCATTGTGGATATACTTTCTCTGGTCTTTTTCTGTCAAGAGAATAAACAAAGCTCTGAGTCAAGTTGAAAATGGTTCTGTAACTTTAGAATTAAAAAAAACACTTTACCATTAGTCTTTGCACCTCTATTCAAAATGAACCTTATGAAATGTGTGTGCAGTAACTTTCATTACATTTTTAAAGCCTGTTGATATTGAGTACTTAGAGAGAACCTTACATGAATTTTATCGGGGGTTTTTTAAGTGCTGAAGGGCGTGACTCACAGCTATAACTATTATGTTCCCGAGTTTTGTTTTGTTTAGGGACGTTGACAAATGGAAGTTTACTGCTTTTAACTGAACCAATTCTTTCCAAGTGCAAAGGCCAACAGCCCATATTTTAAACTTGTAACTTCTTGCATATTTATCGGTAAATTACTATATTATGTTGGACCTTTTCGACCATGTGTTTCACACATGTTCATTTGTTTTACTAGACATCAATGAGTGTGAGGAAGTAACAGGTGTGTGTCAGAACGGAGAATGCATGAACCTCGAAGGAAGCTACAGCTGTATCTGTGATGATGGTTACAGGTTATCACCGAGCAGAGAAGTGTGCATTGGTAAGTTAACTCCCTCATCAGGTTTTGCAGAGAAGTAAAAATAATTTATGTTGTGGCTGTTCACTGTTCACTGCTCCTGTAATGCATGAGGATCGTAAGGGCGCTGTATGACATAGAGCCTCGTCAGGTGCCTCCACTTTTCTTCTTTTTTTTTTGCAAGCGCTTGAGTTTGGGTGAAGGATTTCCCTGTCCACTCCACAATGTTGTTGGTCCACCTCTTCCTTTGCCTTCCTCTACTTCTCCTTGCCTGCACAGTTCCCTGAAGAATGGGCTGTTGAGACTACTTTCAGTCAAATATACTTTAATTTTGTTACATACTGTAACAAAGTACATGAAAAATGCAATATTTTTTTGTTTTAATGACCAGCCTGTGTATTCTGCATCACTTTCTGGATTACACCTCTATCAAATCTTTTAATGCTATGCTTCATACTTCTAAGTCCCGTTATCTTTCACACGTCTAATTTTATGTCCTTCCATAGATTAAGTCTTTCAGCAGCTTAACACTCTCTCTCTCTTTCCAAATTACAAATATTTTAATCTCAACATCATCATAGTATTATCATTTTCATCTTCATCATCATCATCATCATGAAGCTTTGAACTGAACTTAGGGTATAACTTCTACTTAACAGTCCTCCTTTGGGTTTTTCCTTTGGGGGCCCTCACAGCTTCGAAAAGATTCAGAACTGTCCATTCAGAGATGTCAAGGGTTGTTTTTGTCACAGTCTTTTTTCTGCCTTTCTACATTTTGTTCCCAAAAAATAAACATATGATATTTCATTTGCTTGCACTTCTCACTATTTTGGGGGGGATGAAGGAAGGGGAGGGGGGGTACATTTGGGTAAAGGCTTTTTCTGAAAGTCCTTTTTATTTTGTTATTTCCTTTTTAATTCCGGTGCTGTACTACTTTGTCCCCGCCAGATATAACCTATTGTAGTGGATGTGCTGTTGTTTCACTCTGATGTCTTTATTACAGATATTGATGAGTGTGCCGCTCGCCCTGGACTTTGCAGGAACGGCTCTTGCACTAATGGCAATGGCATGTACCAGTGTCACTGCAACGATGGGTTCACACTCACTCCTGAGGGAGACTGTACAGGTAGATACTGGCTCATGACTTGTGTCTTTTTTTTTTATTGCAAGCTTTTATGATATCAGCCTATTACTAATATTAATGTGCTAACTATTTCTGGAATGGTTTATGGCATTCTGGTATGGTCTGCTTCATCTGCTGTTTCTTTTTTAAGGAATATATGAAATTTTAAAGTTGAACACTGTAAGGTTTCTTTTTATTAATGCTGTATTTTCCAAATGATCCTAGTTAAATGTGGCTGTTGTGGAGTCTTTATGTAATATTATAACTGTTTTCTCAAGAAAAAAATTGTCTGAACAACAAGAATCTCTTTTATTCTCTGAATACTCATCTGTGGAACATTTATGACTCTGTTCTCTTTTTATGTACAAGCTTTAAGAACCATTATCGTCATTTTTCAGACATTGATGAATGTATTGCCATGATCGGCATCTGTACCAATGGGCGATGTATCAACACCCAGGGCAGCTTTACTTGCCAATGTCCAGATGGCTACACCCTGTCTTCAGATGGTCATCATTGCAGAGGTAAATTTGGAACTGAGAATATGAATCTGGCTCTTGCTAAAAAGATGTCAAATATACTGATCTCAACCTTTGTTGCTTTAGTAATTAAAGTTTTACTGCGCTCGCAACTGCATCAGGTCATATCAGCAGCCAAAATCTCAATATTAATGTAAATGTACTCTTTCAATTTTATGTAGAAATGATAACAGTTTTGTTAAAATTAAGATGAAACATTTGAGAAAGTGTGTCATGAGGAAATCTAGTCATTTTAAAATGTAACAAAGCTGGCTGCTCTTTAATAATGGCATAAATTTTATTTAATTACTGCATGCATCCAAACTTTTGATAAATTAAATCACTGAGAAAACCAGGGTTTTGAGTTGTTGTTTTTAAGAATGTGGAAATATAAGATGGGAAACTTACATCCTGATAAAATGAACTGATCAACATATCCAAGAAATAGACAGATGACATTGTTAAAACAATGTTTAAAAGCCAAAATGCTTCTCTGCCCATTTACTAAAGTGTATGTTACAGTTTGGTTTATCATGAACTCTCTTCTCATAAGATATCGATGAATGCTTTGAGCTGGGAATCATGTGCGAGAGAGGAACATGCCAGAACACAGAGGGATCTTTCATCTGCACATGTCCAGATGGCTACCAACTGTCTCCTGACAAGAAGACCTGCTTAGGTAGGGGAACTTGTTTCTCGTACCTATGCCTTTACAACCTTTCTGCTAATATTTCTTTTGAAAATACATTTTGTTGAAAGAAGACTCAAAGTAAGATTGTATTCATCCAAATGTAAGTATTAGATATGAGGTGTTTCCTATGAATAAAAATATAACAGTGTTTCATGCTGCCATTGACAATTTAGCTAATTTAAAAAGCAAACTGCTTTAATACTACATGTTTGAGCCAAGCCAGGTTGACATGGATACAATGTCCCTGGAGAAAACCTGTGATACCGATCTAATCTAATTCATGTATTTGGCGAGCAGCATAAACAAACCTTACTGTTACTCCTCAGATTCCTGTGCCTAAGAGTGTGAATGGTGGAAATCAAATGACTTATCCTTTGTGCAACTTGCTCTTATTTTGAATTATTTATGAATTTGTTTTACCCAAAACTGGTATATATAATAGGGAGGCTTTTCATGTTTTTGTGAAATAAGAAGCCCCACAACTTTAGAACTTGAAACGCCTTGCAATAATTCAAAGTTATACCGAGTTCATTTTGATCTGTACAAAAATGTATTATTCAGTTCTTTTTCCTTTTCAGTTTACCTTCTTAGTTTTCATAGTATCAAACCTGGAGACTGGTAAACCCTTTGTTTTTACCACTGTTGCAGATGTCAATGAGTGCTTTACCCTGCAAAATGCTTGCTTTGAGGGTGAGTGCCGGAACACAGATGGAGGATTTATGTGCATCTGTCCACCTGGCTTTGAAACAACACCTGATGGAATGGCATGTATCGGTCAGTATTTTTTTTCCTACTGTTTAATGAATTGTGGATCTTGACCATAAGTCAAGAGAGTCGATGAGTTTTTTTTTAACATAGTTCGAAATGTATTCCACCAATGTTTGGATTAAAAATTATATTAAGTATTATTTTTTTTTTTTTTTCTTTTTATTCTCTTGATTTTCTTTTCAATTTTTTATAGTGTAACAGTAGGAAGGAATAAGATGTAAAAGAAGTCACTGTAAAAATATTCATAGTGTTTTCTCTGAGATGATAGTAGTTGTTAGGTCAAATTGTTTTATTTCAGATGTACGACCTGGTTCTTGTTATGATGGATTTGAGTTTGGCCGCTGCGTCAGTCCAAGGGAAGGCATCTTGTCCCGGGCAGAATGCTGTTGTACTGAGGCTGCGGCTTGGGGCTTTGATGGAAGATGTGACTTATGTCCTGCACCTGGAGATCGTGAGTCCAAAGATTTTTTTAACCCTTTGAACCCTGACCTCCTGAGGCTACCATGCCCCTCTGTGTAAGCTCCTGAGCAATATATTACTAACATTTATAAGATCGTCAGAATTATTATCCATACCCCACTCAGGGTATTCTTCGTCATTACAGGCATCCGATTCAGAAAGATCTTCAAAATAATCAGTAACATCTTTTGTAGTAAACACTGTTTTCCGTGTGCATTTTGTACCAGACTTGTTGGGTTGGAGATAGAGTCTCGCTCACCAGTGTATCGGTGGCTAGGCACACGTGCAGTTTTCTAATCTGTGCCTCAAGTCTACCAGTGGCAAGGGCTGAAAGAGTTAACGGGTATATTTTTTAATTTATCAAACCTTTTAAATAGTTATTTTTAACTGTGTGAAGTCACTCAGATCCAAGCCATAACTGTGGCCACAAGTGTGGATGGTGTCTCTCCTCTTCATTACTGCCTCTTCTCTCTTTCATGCCAGTCTAGAGGAGGGAGAAGATCTAGTTGTTAATAGTAGACCCCACCCCTCACCCAGAGTTCCCCAATTGCAGAGGCTTGCTTTTAGAATGGCATATTGAGCTCAGAACAGCACTTACTTCATATAAAAACTGTGTGATATTGAAATATTGGCAATTTGAAAATTTAAAACTTATACGTGTCCAAGTAATGTCATACAAGATCATGACTGGCAAATTTTATTTATCAGGGTAGTTTTAGTCTTCTTTTAATGTAAGTTGACATCATAAGTGTATAAAAGCATATTTAATTTCTATCATAGAATTCATTGAATTATTGAATTATTTTGATTAACAAATCCTGGGCCAACTACAAACACTTCTTCAAAAGTTCTTTTTCCTGCGGACCATAATCTAGTGACTACATAATACCAAGTCAAAGGTTAGAGTAATGTTGGAAAAATGAATATATTTAAGGTTTCTTTGTCTGATCATTCCAATTAATGTTTTGTTGTCTTTCAGCTGGATTTGAGTACCTGTGCCCAGAGGGCTATGGCTACGTTCCTACACCAGAAGGAATTATCTCAGGTAGATTTTACAACATTTCCATAGTAAACTTGTCTTTTATGTTGGTAATTTAAAAAGTCTCAATTTTGGAGAGTCAACAGAGCATACTGTGCCTTTGAATAATCTATGAAGTATAAATACAGATCTTTCTGTGCTTTAATACGTCTTTCGATTAACATTATTAAGATGAATATAGCATTTCTGGTGTCCCTGTCAGGAACAAAACTGAATTTTGTTTTAGATATCTCTGGTCTTACACTTTTTCTCATTGTTCACATAAGACTTCAGTACTCTCAGCAAGATCACTTTATATTTTAAATGCAATTATTATAATTATTATTGTTATTGTTTCCCTGTGCAAAAAACATTCAAGGTCATGTAAGTCAAGTTCAATTGACATATGTTGAAGTTTGTTTGGAAAGGTGGTAGTGTGCAACTGAGACATTGCTTAAATATCTATGTCCATTTTGTCTAGATGGAATTGTACTAATTTGAATTTGTTTTTTTTTCCCTTTTTTTAACCAATTTGCACCAGACTTTTTTCACATAGATTGGGAGTATAGAAAAACACTTTACGGCCCAACAATTTGCAATATAATGTTGTCATACACAGATTTGAATGAGTGCAAACTTTATCCTGGCATTTGCGTCAATGGTATCTGCATAAACAATGACGGTTCTTTCCGCTGTGAATGCCAAGAAGGATATGAGCTGGATGCTAGTGGAAGAAAATGTGTTGGTAAGTGCTGACCTCTCAAAAGGATGTATTTAAGACTTTAAAAAAAGTAAATGAGGCTTGATGATTATGTGTAGTGTGTGGGCTTTGTGCTAGTTAGTATTACGATAGATTCACTCCGGTTCTGGCTCATGTCAGCATTCCATTCTTAGACCATATTGCATGATTATTTAAGACCTCATCTTCTTCCTGTGAAGAAAAGTGAGGCAGCTATAGATAATTTGATACAGCCAAAAAGAGACAATTCTGATTTTGAACTACAATCTGTCATGCACATAGCAAAATCAGCAGAATGCGAAAATCTCGTCTTTATGTATAAATTTTGCTATGTTTTGAATACAAAGAATATACTTGAATTTTAAAAAATTTGGGTCCTGAGAACCTGTTCGCTATTTGTGTGTTTTTTGCTATGTGCATGTTCAATAAAAGCATTCTAGACTGTAGTTAGGTCAAAAGTGAATTGCATCAAAAAGATTGATGCCTACTCTAATATGCTGTACAAATTGTTGTACTGTAGGTATTTAAAGAATAGTGTGATTTTGGTCTGCATGCCAGGAGCAGACTGAAATCTAAGGTATGGGCATGAGTGATATGTATTTTATTTAGGGTTCAAAAGTCATGTCTGTAAAATCCTTGCCACTAGAATGTCACAGCGTTTCAAACCCCCCCACCCACTACCAAACTACCACTGCAATTTTTTTTTACATTTGGGATAAAGAAGAGGTTACTATAATAATACCAAAATTTTGTCATTAATCAATCATCTTTGGAATGTCTACCTTGTTTGTATCTGTTCCATTAACAAAACAGACTTTGAGAGATTTCTTATTGTATGCTATTTTCCAGCCAGACATATGAATATGATTCTATAAACGTTGCAGTGGGAGCATGACTAGATCCCTTTTATCCTTTATGAATGAAAAAATGAATACTGATATGTTTTACAACAATGAAATTATCCTTCCTTGCGCTCTTTTCACTTTACATTTCCTTGTTTGCTTTGACCAGTTTTGTTAGTTTTGTCATTGACAGGCCTCTACAATCCAGACTCTACTGTCTGCAAAGACAGAGACTTTCCAAATATTTTTTCAGTAATAACATCATGGGTTACTTATTTTCTTTGTAGAATAAGCTAACATGCTGTAGACATTTCTAAGTCAGTTTGTTATTTCCACCAGACAAGGATGAGTGCCTGGACAGATCCATGTGTGGCAACGGTACCTGTGAGAATATAGACGGTGGATTTGACTGCTCCTGCAACACAGGATTTGAGCCGGGACCAACTGGCAAATGTACAGGTAAGTGTGAACTGTGATAAACAGTGTATCCCCTTTCCATATTGTTGCACTGTGTATGCATGGAAGGCAGTGAGAGTAAGGTGGACTGTGCAGTAATGTGTGAGAAAATATGAATTTCAAACTGACATATAAAGTAATATTCTGATTGTTTTGATTCAGAAAGCATAGATTATCTTTAAAAAATCATAGTTTTATGGCAGAAATTTTAATGTAATCTTCTCAATTCCATGGTCAGATTCTTTCACATACTGTCTGGATCTCCTGTGGTTTACTCAGAATGTTACAGACAAACAAAATACTGCTCATCCTTTTTCTGAGATTGTTTTAAATTTGAATGTCTGTGATTTTAATGGAGAGGGTAGGGGGGGGGTGAGGAGGGCTCATTCATGATGTTATTCTCATCTCTTAATAGACTGGTTATGCTACTAATTTTGATGGGTTCTGTTGAAAGTAGGTTGTCATGTCAATGTCCGAAAGAGAAGTAGAAGAATTTTATGGAAAAATGTTCTAAATTTTTCCACTTCAGCCAATTTAACTCACTGACCCAAAAGGGATCACAGTAACATCTATCCAGACGTTGCTCAGTATCACAAAATGTAGTGGATAAATGTTGGATATCAGAATTTTTATATATGAATAATAACATAGATCGTTTCAAGCTTGAAGAGTACATTTTCTTTTGGTATCGAAGATGCCTCGTTTCAGCTCATGTTCTAACTTTATGGAGATGTTCCTGAAACATAATTGGGTAGTTGTTTACCCATTTTACCAATAAAAACTACTACTTTGCTTGGAATGAGCATAATATAGGATATTTGGGTTAATTGTTGTTGATACTTATGATGACTCTTGTTCATCTATTGTTGAAAACATAGGGAAGTTTGCAGTTGTTTGTGTCCCTTTTACCATAGAATAAAATCTTTGGGGTTGTTGTTTGGTTTTTGTTGCTTTTTTGGTGTTTTTTTCATGTAACTTTTGTGCATGACATACAGACTGTTTCAAAACTGACTTTCATAAACAAATGCCTTATTGGTTTTTTAAGGGCCCTGTCAGATTTGGAACGCTCTGCATATAAGACAGTAGCAGGGTTCATCAAAGTAAAGTCATGGGCCTGTTGCTTACTTGAGAGGTCCTTCTCACTATGATAAAACAAACAAATATAATTTGTGTGAAAAAATATTTTGATTGGCGAGAAGGTTATTACAAAAGATTCAGTGGGTAGTGATAAAAAAACAAACATTTGAAGAACCTTGTCCTGCACTAAAAGTTACTTCAAAACCATGCATTTCTTGTTCAGTTACCCAGAATGAAACACCTCTCCACCTTCTAACTTTCAGACATCAACGAGTGCAACACTCCTCAAAATCAGTGTGCTTTCCGCTGTGCTAACTTGCCAGGAACATTCCGGTGTGTTTGTCCGATGGGGTACAAGGTGGCCCCCGACCAGATACATTGTGAAGGTTTGCTATGCCAGAGTATTCTAGTTAACACTCCTATACTCATCTGTGTTCATCTCAGTGTAAACATTTACTCCATTATATTAATGTTTGGAAATATATGTAAGGACTTTCATGAACTCTTCCAAGGTGAACAAAATAATTATCCAGTCAGCAGTATCAGCTCTACAGCTCCAATGAAAAAAAAACAAGTTTAAAATCAAATAAAGCAAAGGAATGAGTTTTTTTTCTGCTATGTTGCTGTTATCTTTAATTTATTCCTCATTACATTCTGGGAGGGGGAGGGGTGTAATTATTGTGTTGCCAATGTTAAGCTGGTTTGTCATTCCTGATTTATTATTTGATGTTTCATTATTAACACTTTAAATACCCGGTAATTTCTGTTCCACTCTTGCATTCAGTTTTTTTCTCTCCCCAAATCTCGAACCACTAGTAACATGTTATTTTATAATGTTTTGAAAAATTTTCCCAAACAAGGAATTATTATTAACATAAAGTTTCCTTTAACATATTTTATTTTTCCCCAGTTGATTATTACCCCATTTGTCCTCTTCAAATTCTTATTCATTTTTATTAATTTGCGTCTTGACGCGTCTGTTTTTAAGTTGTTAGTTAATTACAAATAAAGTTGAAGCGCCATACTTTGATATTTCATCTTCAAAATAATGTCATGTGAAATCTTTCTATACTTTTTGTTAAAGACTCATATAAAGGTGTTTATAAGGATTGACTAATTGACAGGTAAATGGAATTAATTTTGAAAAATTTGACAAGCCACGTTCATGTCTTCTCAGTAGTTGTGAGATCTTATGAACTCTAATGAAATCAGATGATAGGCCCTACTTCCTTCATCTTAAAATTAATGAAGATAATATTGTGGTTAAGAGCTGCCTCGGAAGTTCAGTGACATACTATTTCTCCACATTTAGCCCAGCATAGTTTTTACAGCAGGGTAAAACACTCAACTACATTTTGCGCAAGATCCTTTAGAATTCATATATATATTGTTTGGAACATTTGAAAGACATTCCACCCAGACTTTCAAAATGGATCTTATTCGGTTCGTCCAGCCCCCACAAATGAATTAAAAGGCCAGAATCATATTTAGAAGGAATTTAATTTATTCAAATGTGAAGAATTTCATATAAACGTTTAACACGTACAGGCGCTGTATCAAAATCAATTTGTTAAATTTCTCAATGTAGATTATTCCATATACATCAGCTTGTTCACTGTATTGTTATAGGCATGAATAAATCTGTGTATGTATTTGATTTTGATAATTCATGTGTCTACAGATGTGGATGAGTGCTCCACACCGGCCAACAAGTGCAGGTATGCTTGCAAGAACATTGTAGGCTCCTTCCTCTGTGTCTGTCCTGAGGGTTTCACCCAAATAGGTCAAGATGAATGTAGAGGTAAGACGTTCACCTGCTCTGTAGTCACATTATTTGGGTCACTGGGCTCCTCCTTTCTCTGTCTCTACTATGAAATTGAAATATGAAAGCGTTTTTCTCTTATTGAGATAAGTAAAGTGTTTTAACCCTTGCAAACCCATGTGCGTATATTTTCAGTACGGCTTGTACCTCCCACTGTCACAAGAGTGTATATTCGTACTATCGGGGGGTATCGAATTTGCGCATTTTAAAAATGTAGCCAACCTAACTCAACTTTAATTTTCATAATAATTGTTCATTTACTTTTTAAAATTGTTAAATGTTATCATCTAAACCTCATTATAAAGATATTGCATCACTTTTTAAAATGCAGGCCTCTTTTTCTGCACATACTGCTGTATTGGCTGAGACTGGGGTTAGATCTAGGGAGTACACAAAAATGACTGGGGCTGGAAGGGTTAATGCTTTCAGCCTCCTGTTTGTGTTGGGAGGGTGATAGATAGACCCACTGATCTCAGCACGAGGTGCAACACCTCTTAGCACAGTTATGCACATTGACCTCTTTGCTTTGATGAAAATTGGTGAGATATTATTTTGGTGCTTCGTCTTTACTTTCTTTCTCTCCTATTTCGTTCTTCTTTCTCAACCAACTTTGCCTTGCTAAATGACCTTTATGTGTCCCGAAGAGTATTAAACTTTTAGAAAAAAACATTTTTGTAAATCAATATATGTGAGACACCGTGGTGAAATCAGGAGCTCGTCTAAATAATGAAATTGAAGAAACGCTCAAAAATGTAAACTTGCACTTTCTAAGGACTCTCAAGCTTTGGAAGTCGCCAAACTTTGGTGGTCATTTTCTCGCTAATTTTACCTCTGAGCCCAGGCAACGCCCATCTCCTTCAATCGCAAATGTCTTGACTTCTATTCATGACAGATGAGTATTTTTTTCACGGAAAGCAAGACAAATGAATAAGCTTTAGAATGATACCAATAGCTCCACATGTCCAGAAATTGATGAGCGCCACCGTGTCGTGACACATATACTTATAGTCAAGGTACTGACCAGGGATTTTTTTTAACAGAAATTTTCAAAAAGACTAAAATTTCTGTACCACTACGTGAGCTGTTATACTAATAATAGTCATGTTTTCTGCTCAGAAAAAACACCTTGCTCATTATTTGTCCCTCCGCAGATATTGATGAATGCAGAACAAGGCCAGGAGTTTGTCAAAATGGCCGCTGCTACAACACCCAAGGAGGTTACCGATGTGACTGCAACCCTGGCTACCAGACAAGTGATGATGGAAAGGCCTGCTTTGGTAAGATGTTTGGCTTAACACTTTGCCATCACAAGGCTCATATAGTAAAAACCCATCAAAGGCAAAGACATTTTGGGGAAAATCCAAAGAAACTGGATGTAAACATTGCCATTCGGCGAGATGAGGCGGCGAAGTGTTAAAACCTGGACATCTTTTATAACTATTTATAAACAACTTGGTGCTGGGCTTGAATTTTATCTATGGCAGAAGTTTACTTACTGAATGAAAGGCTGGATTGTTTAGGAATGGCAAATGCCCTTGAAGTTACTATAAATTGTTATAGCCATCAGCAGGTTAACGGTTTTAATGTCTCAGGGTGCAATTTGTGGGGGGGGGGGGTTAAAAATCATCCTTGTGCGATTTCTGTCTTCCATTTCCTTTTTTTCCCAACTCAAAATGACCAATTTAATAATAGTATGCTTGCCATGTTATGCTATAAGCTAGGTTATTGTCATGCTGGACTTCTATACAGAGGACCCTACTTCAAATCTCTAATGACGCATTGTAAAACTTAAGTTGTTTGAAAAGTTGGTAAGGCTCCTTTTTCACTTGGCTCAGTAGTCTATCCAAGATCAATATGAAATCAGGAGCACAAGCTGTGATTTGTAATTGTAAATGTTTAACATCCCTTTAACTTAATTTAGTGAATCTAGAAGAAAGTGGGATTCTTCAATCTTGCCTGCTAAGGCCAACTTCAGCTGAATGGGGTATAGCATTCCACAAGAAAAACAGAAGTGCCTGGTGTAAATAGATTTCCCTACTTGGAAATCAAACTAATGTTCTTCGTCTAATGGTAAGGGTCTGACCATTTCTTACAGATACAATGCATCAGCTGTGGATTTTCTTGATTTAAAAGATTTGTAAATTGTAAATAATACCTTTGTACCATCATTGTCTAAATGTTTCATTCCTATGGGAATGAAATAAAAAATCATTTTTTGACATTTGTAATGTGTAAATTCTCAGACCGTCGTCAGGACTACTGTTACCTGGAGCTGCAGGGTGGACGCTGTGTGACCACACCTGACCTGGCCCGACTGACCAAGGCTGAATGTTGTTGCTCCCTGTCTGCTGCATGGGGACGCTCGTGTGAACGTTGTCCTGCTGTCAACACAGGTCAGTGTTTCTTCTTCTTCTTCTTTTTCTTCTTCTCCTCCTCCTCCTCCTCCTCCTCCTCCTCCTCCCCTCCTCCTCCTCCTCCTCCTCCTCCTCCTCCTCCTCCTTCTTCTTCTTCTTTTTCTTCTTCTTCTTCTTCTTCTTCTTCTTCTTCTTCTTCTTCTTCTTCTTCTTCTTCTTCTTCTTCTTCTTCTTCTTCTTCTTCTTCTTCTTCTTCTTCTTTATCTTCTACCTCTTCTTCCTCCTCCTCCTGCTCCTCCTCCTGCTCCTCCTCCTCCTCCTCCTCCTCCTCCTCCTCCTTCCTTTTCTTTCTTCTTCCTCCTCCTCCTTCCTCTTCTTCCTCCTCCTCCTCCTCCTTCCTCTTCTTCCTCCTCCTCCTCCTCCTCCTCCTCCTCCTCCTCCTCCTCCTCCTTCCCCACCTCCTCCTCCCCCTTCTCCTTTGTTCACCAGTGGGTTTTTTTCTGCATCCAGGTATATTTCTCCCTATTCTTCTGGATGTTTGTTCCCATTGTGCTATTTCAGATGGGTCTTATTTCTTTTTGCTTTTCTGAATTAGATCTTAGGCTAACAATTACTTATCTATTCTTATGCTATAATACGTTCTTTCTGCTATCTGGCCTCTCAATCACCCATTTGCCCGTTTGTAAAGTAGGCTCATTCCAGTTTCATAATTTAATACTTAGAGTTGTTTCATTTGTCCAGATACCAGAGCCTGTGGAATCATCTTGTCTTGACAAATGATAGATTGTGACATTTAAATAACGAAATGGAGACTTAGTTTTACAAGTTTCTAGTAGCCTACTGATCATAAAAAAATGCAGCCCTTTGCTATATTGGGTAGGGGTGGTTAAGTCTGACGAGATTTTTTTTTAATGTGTGGAGTTCTTAGTTTTTGGGCTGACAATGAATGTGTTTTAAAAAATTGAGACTTATGAGATGACAATTTCTTCTTAGGTTCGTTCAACAGACTCTGTCCTCAAGGTCCTGGACTCACCCCTGACGGAAAAGGTAAGTAAAATATTTATACTGATCAACTGTATGTATGATCAAAGAGATATGTACCATGAAGTGGTGTGATGCGTAGTTCTAAATGAAGATATATTTTTACAATGATGCAGTGTTTCTGAATAGATCATTTGTTTCCTTCCACCACAACCCATGTGAAGAGTTGGAAAAGCAATTCATAGCCCAGTACTAGTGGGAGTAGTAGAGATAAGATCATGACAAAATGTATGAATTGAGTTGGGAAATTGTGCTTTTTTAAATTGAAGAGTGGTTTTCCAAAACTCGGTTAGTCAATTTTGACACGCGCATGGTTTCACCATGATGCCACAAACATACATAAAATAATAATACTCTCATGTGCACATAACAATACATCAATTGGTCATTTTTATATTATAAACGTGTGAGACGTCATGGTGAAATCGGATGCTCGTCAAAATTGACTTACTGAGTTTTGGAAAACCACTCTTCAATTGTGTTTCTGGCATGAGAGTAAAAGTGTAAGTTACAAAATTCTTCAATAATGGTCAAATCATGATATACCTAAAATGTAGAGATACTCTGCTTTCCATGTCACTAGCATTTATGTAGAAATACTTTAATAGCTGAAGTCATTGGGAGAAAAATGACACAGCTTGTGTAGTCGGCAATAGAGTGATACATACTATTAATTATTTTTATAAAACTATGTTTTTTGGCCTCATCTAATATGGTGGTAAGACTCATGTTCCTCCACTTTGTAACCATTCTAAACTTATGGTAAAAAAATAGAAAGGAGAATTATAGAAAAATGAATTTTCATTTTGGATCAATGTTAAATGTCGCCCTCTTTTGCTATAGTCCTACATGTTAATAGTATCATGTAACTTTGGCATGTACTTTATGTTTGGATACTTGTGAACTTTGTCTTCTTTCACCGTTATCAGGAACTTCTTTCATAAAATGCTAACCTTTTTTTTTCTTCATAGATATCGATGAGTGCTCAAGCATGCCTGGAGCTTGCCGCAATGGACGCTGTCTCAACACCATGGGCTCCTACAGATGTGTCTGCAACAAGGGTTACAAGACTGATATCACCGGCAAAAGATGCATTGGTGTGTATGTGTGAGCGTTGGGTTGAAAAAAACTGATGGAGATGTTTGTGTGTAGTGGGTCATCACTATGGACTGTTTCTACTATTTATGATGTCCTGAAGAAATACACAATCCCAGAGCACTTTCCATTCGTAATGACTCAGTGATGTATTTTGTTTCTGTGATCATTTGACTGAGGAAAATGGTGGCTGTGAGAGTTTCTTTGTGTATGAAGTGCATAATTTAACCCTCTTGCAACAATTTAATATGTCTTGAATGTTGTCTCACAAAACCATTCAATACTTGGTAATCCAATACCCAGATCTGCAGGACTTTCAAAAGTAAGTTTTCTCTTTTCACACCTGCTGCAGACAAGTCTTTATATTTATATTTATACTAATAAGAACCTCTGAGAAAAACCCGGCTTTAGTTTGAAGGGGTACTGTTCTGGCAATTTATATAATGGCAAAACTGACAACATATTATTGGCTGACAGGGAACGTTTTGCTTACACTTTTACACCTTAAGTGTTCAGTTTGTATGATTTAATCATCTGATCTGCACGAGTGCTTTGCTCCCCAGATAACAATGAGTGCCGTCAGGATCCCAAGCCTTGTGAGTTCACCTGCTCCAACACAGAAGGAAGCTTCATCTGTGGCTGTCCTTCCGGCTATGTCCTCAACATGGATGGCCTCACCTGCAGAGGTGAGATCATGTTGCGAATGAATGAACTGTCTTTTTTCTTCCTGTAATTTTCATAATGGTTTCTGGTTTCTTGTTTAATATGGACACCAATTTTTTTTTCCTTTTAGAATTTTAGATATATATAAAAATCTGGATACTCTGATCCTTGTGATTTAACAGTTAATGCAGTTTGCTCAGTGTGATATCAGCACCATCTGTGACACCAAAGATTTTGAAAGCTCTACAGCATTTATCTGGCATTTCTGGCCTGACAAATTTATGTTTTGGGAATTCCCCAGAATGTGTGCTTTTGTATGATTTGTCTCTTTTTGTCAAGGCTGAATGCTGCAATCTGTCCCCGGAGTTTTATGCACTGCGCATAATTTAGCAAAATTTGATCAATTTTTGCATAATTTCTGATTATTTTCCTTTATCATTCTTTGTTAAAATTAACAGGATCGCATAATTTCACATTTTTGGGCTCAGTTTGCATAATTTCAGAATTATTTTTGCTTGAAACCGCTGGGACAGAAGTATTGAAAATATGCCGACTCCAAGTTCATCCTAATGAAGAGTCTATTGAAATATATTCATCAGTTTTTATTTCTGTGCAGTATGTTATATGTTTAGCCGTTGAAACACCCGGTAAATTATATTGGGTTTCTCAGCTTTAGCAGAGGTTGTAGAGACAGATCAAGATGACTGCATCCTTGATAAAAAAATCTGATGCTGCCAACTTCATTCAATAACAAAGGAAGAGGTAGGGGTTGGGGTCAGTGACAAACCATCTTAATGAAAGTAACATTTTTTCAAAAACAAGGAAAACTTTTATTTCGTGAAGGTACCACCCTGCAAAATATACTTTCTCACACCACATAATCATAGGCTTGTGAATAACGTTTCCCTTTGTCTTGACATCATCTTTCTATTCAAGACTTGGATGAGTGTACCACCATGCGCCATGACTGCAGTGGCACCTGTGTCAACACTCCAGGAAGTTACGAATGTGAATGTCCTGAAGGTTTCCGCAAGTCTCGAGGCAATGGATGTGATGGTGAGGAAAGAAAAGAATATAATGCATCGCTGCTATGTTTGAATTTGATGCGTCTGTTCATGGAGATAGTTTCATTGAATTGTGCTTTTTTTTTTTTTTGTTTCGTATTTTTAATTCAATGGGCCACAATACCGTAGTCACAGATGACACCTATGACCTCTCTTGTGTGAGTCGAATTCGTACTCCAGCTTTTCGCTTAATGTAGTCCTGCTGGTGGTGGGTGTATGAAGAGCGATGCCTTTAGCATCAGATTTCTTTTGCCATTTGTGCACTGGTGTAAACCTCATTAATGTTGTCAAGGCAGTGAATGTGTGGGTCTGGAAAAGAAGTGAGAAAAAAGAAAGGAGATGGAGGGAGTATGTGTGTGTATCTATGTTCTAAAAATATTCATTTCTGTCTTAAGGACAAATTTTCATTGTGAAATCAGTTAAGTTTGTCATTGTCATTTGTTCACATCCTGATGTGAAGTACTCCTGGAACCAGCAGCAGTAGAATTTTCACCCCATGGTAAAGCCATAGGTGACTTCTAATTAAATCTGCAATGCTGAGATTGGAAGTGTAACATGCTACAGTCAATGGGTTTGGGTTTGTTTTTTGTGTTTCGGCTTTAAGCATTATCTATATATATATGCTGTTTAGGATTTGAAGGATCCAATGTTGTTTGCCATTTTGTATAAACACAGTGGGTTCTTGTATGTTTGTGAGAGAGAGAGATGGAGGGTTATTTTTAGATGTAAAGATAAAATTATACATTTGGTAAGCTGACTGAGAAGTATACAGTAGTTTTCATCCTCATGTCAGTGGAACAGATCACACTTTATTAAGAACCAGATTCAAGTAAAAGTGTCATGAAAGTGAGAGGAAAAGGAATAGACCACATTAGACATCCCACCAACTACCTGTTTCAAATCTTTATCTTTTCTCTTCTCATATTTCAATGCTGCAGATATCAACGAGTGCCTTGAGCAGCCCCATCTTTGCGGTGCAGTGGGAACATGCCAGAACACCAGAGGCAGCTACCAGTGCATATGCCCTCGTGGCTATCGCAGAGACAAGACTGGCACTAAGTGTATTGGTAGGTCTCTGCAAGATTGCTTGGTTACTGGAGTTTACATAATTTGTTCTTTTCTTTCAACAACTACTGTTTGAACTCCTTTCTTTTCCACTACTAATTGTGTGTGTGGGGGGTTGTCTAGAAATCTCTTTCAGTGTCTAATAACGAAAGCTCAAAAGAGCAGGGCTCAGTATATTCTGATAAAAACAGAGTTGCAACTAACAGACCCTTTCTTTATCCTTTTACCCTTCCAAATCTGTCCACTGTTTAAAAAAAAAAAAGAATTATAAGCACAATATGGTTTAGTAATCTATTCAATAATATAATTAATATCCCATTTGAATTTTCTTCCTTACTCAACTCTGACAATTTCTAGCTTGATGTTTTGCTACATAGAAATGTTGCTGTTAAATTAAGAGTTGACATTAACATTGTCTATTATCGTGCTTTTTGTGTTTCATAGTATTGCCTTTTGAAAAATTCTGCAGAAATAACTATTAAAATTGTTAATGTGCAATGATAATTACAGCATGGTCAATAACCTTTACAAGTAAAAGTAAAGACTTAAATCTTTGGGTTAACAATAGGGTTGATAATTAGTGATGTTGCCTTTTCTCATTCCCTTTTCACAACAGATATCGATGAGTGTGAGGATGGTAAGTGTGAGGGAGATTGTGACAACATCCCTGGAAGCTACAGGTGTGAATGTCCTCCTGGATACACACAGAGACCCAATGGACAGTGTGTGGGTGAGGAGTCAGTTTTCTTCATTGTGGACATAAATTGATGCATGATGATAACATATTAGTCTTTGGATAATAGTGTTAATAGTAGTACTTCAAGATTTGGAGGTAATGGCTACTTTTATATCTATCATCATATTAAATGGGCTCCATTTTACCAGTTGCAAAGTTTATTGAAAATTGGGTGAGAGAATTAGAGGCTTGTTTTGCTCTGCTAAATGATGTTCAACATATCAGAAAGTAAAATACAACATTCGGATGGGTGTTATGATTATTAAATCAAATGTAGACTGTCCGTCCCCATTGCTTTAGAGATTTTACATTCTTAAAAGTTTTATTCCAAATGGGCAGGTGTTACTGAACCTTTTAGCCTATTGCCGGTTAAAGGTAAAATTTTGAACATTAGATAATTTAGGACCATTAACTGAAATATATGTCAACTGTCGAATGTCACGTAAACTACTGTATGAATTCATTCAACAGATGAAAATGAATGTGCTGGTGACTACGTCTGTGGATTTGTTGCACTGTGCGTCAACATGCCTGGAAGCTTCGATTGCCAATGTACCTCTGGTATGGACTTCGACATGGATTCACTGAACTGCATTGGTGAGTGGGGCTGAATCTCTTTTGTTCTGAATCTTGAAACTCTACTTGATTTACTATAAGTTAAAGTTTTTTGCTCTCATTTTTTTCTTATTCTTGAAAAAAGGATCATAACAAGTTGCTGTAACAAATAATTTACTCTGACTTAAACTTAATCACCATTGTAATGTGTAGAGTAGTTTAAAAACTGCTCATAAGAATGTCACTCAGCAACAGTTTTGATGTTAGTAGTCTGGTGTGTCCTTGCAAGCTCTTACATTTACAGACTCTTCCACCTTCTACAATGATGAAAATATTATTTGTACCCAGGTGTTCTGGTTCTTTTGTGTACCATCATTGTCTTCTTTCTTCTCTCTTCCCTTTTTTAAACTATGGTCCTTGATAAAGTGCTTTGCCCTCAAAGTAACTGTAATTAGGAATTAAACTTACTGAAAAAAGCAATAAGCAGTCGTGCGCTTTTTCACTTCCATCTTTGAAATCAAACATATATGGCAGTGTGTACATGGATCGTGGTACAGTGTTCTGTGGATCTTAATAAAAAGATAACTCCATTGACAGCTGAATTTCTCCAAAGGTAGGCCTACTAATGATATGTGTGTGCGCGTGTGTGTGTATTGGGAGGGGGGTTCCTTTCTACTTTGTTTCGTTTGTTCATACCTTGTGTAACATGCTATTGTTATGTTGTTAACAGAATACCCTTTTCCTGGCACATGAAGAGGATTTTTTTTCTTTTTTAAAAATTTCATCTTAGATGGAAATGTGTGTGGTGGACACCCATGCCTGTTTGGATGCACTCCATCAAATGGTGGCAATTATGTCTGTGGATGCCCACCAGGGTACGAGCCCATCGGACAAGGGTGAGCAGCATGCTTTTGTGCTAAGACAGATTATATCTCTGTAACCTATATTCTGCACTGTTGTCCTGCCATTTCTTCCTCTTTCAGTATGTTTTTCTTCCTCATTGCATCATGTTGTTCATGTTGTTTTTACATGCCTTACTGTTTCTTTGATGTCTGTTCCTCTTGACTCTACATTTCTTTGCAATGCTTAGTGGGTTTTTTAAACCTATCAATCGCTTGCTTGATCTTATTAGCTTTCTCATTTCTTGATTTGAGCTGAGGATAGTTATTTGGTACTCCTCTTTTGTAGCCTTTTATTACTTCATATTTTCACTGTTTCTGACAAAATGGTAGGTGTTTGGAGGGTGCCGCCGATCTGTTGTAGCCTACTTATTTTCTCTACCTCTGGTTTTTTTCTTTGTCTCCTTTTTCTCCGTCACCAAATGACCATTATTGTGCTTTTGTGCATCTCTTTTTCAAAGTCAAACCTGGCAAAGTGCAACCATTATTGTGCTGACTCATCGAAGATATCCACTTAATTCATATCATTTCCTCATTGTCTACGAAGGCTTAGAATAAATGAAACTTCCTTTTATGTTTGTAACAAAATGTCTCCTCTTGGTCCCATCCAGACACTGCATCAGTACGGCCTCATCAGCCAGCACCCACTACCCACCGGGCACGCAGCTTCCCCATGAGCCGGGCCCCAACACAGATGGCAAACTGCCACCCGGAGAAGGCTGCTACCAATGTGACCACGATTTTGGGGAGATTCCTCTGTCCCGACGCAGCCGTAGAAGTACAAGGTAAGGACGTTGGGGTTTTTTCCATCATTTAATATCACATACATAAACCCTTTTGGTATTTTTTGTAGATGTTGCAATGATTGTTGATTTGCTTTCACAGTCGACTCATGTTTAACACATGTTATATAATTTTTTTAAGAACTCTAAGAAAGGACAAGGGATGAAAACTAGTCTTTGATTTGTTTCATAGGAATAATGTATCATGTGTTTTTATTTTGATTACTGTTTGGTTGGGGGTTTTTTGGCTTTATGCTAGTCTAGCCGTAGAAAAAGTCATTTTGCGTAGCCACGTGGTGTTGTTGTGTCACTCTCCTCGGTGGAACTTCAGACTGAGAGGGAATTCTCCATATTCAGGGAAAACAGTTTCAGTTTTTACTCTATCTTGTTTTTTGTGTGTTTTTTATTTTATTTTGCCCCTCTGCACAGTGAAGAGTCCAGTTGATGTCCAATGGAGAGTAATGAAAACTTTAACACTGTTCCAAGTTGTTAGATTTTCATATCAAAACAAAATGTTCATTTTAGTCATTATTTTAAAAAGATTTGAAGGATGTATATGGAAAATACTTGTGATCTAGTCTATTTTGTGATCCTACCCCTCAGGGCGGTGCTACAAACTGAAATATCTTTAGGCCATTCTCAAAGGGGGGACATTAACATGTTCTTATGCACAGTAGAATTGTCAATTGTAAATGGGCTGGTTTATCAATGTCATGCTCATAACTATGCCTGAACTGCAACAGGGAACGGCTGCTTTTTCTTTCCTAATCATTACAATCGTCATTTTTCCTCTATTTCTTTTGTATGTTTGTCCCTCTCTTGTGACCCTCTATTTCCGGGGTGCCTTGATTATCGAAGCAGACTTTGGGCTGTTGAAGCTAGAGAAGTGAGCAGAGTAAGCCTGATTCCCTGTAAAGACTTCTCTGGTGACATCCACCTCTTGGTGCTCATATGACCTTAGGCAGTTGCAAGTGCCAAAAAAACTCTACTGAAAACTATCTTGTGATCCTTCTAGTTTGGTAGATTTTGTTTTGCTTCTTGTCTCTCAGTTTGCTCTGGATAATGTGCCCACCTGCTGGAACACCACTAATGTTGTGGTCATGTTTTATGTTCTGTTTAGTTCCTGCTTGCCTGGATTTACATTTTCTTTTCTTTTTGTTCCTCATGTGTCATAGGTCAGCCTTCCGAGAGGCAAAGAGTTTAGATGAGATGGTTGACCATTTTGCTGGTTCCACTGGACTTGTCCAAGAAGTGAAGGCAGGAGAAGGCATGAGGAGGAAGAGGAGTGTGCCACGGAAACTCAAGCATACCAGGGTTAGTGTTATCATCATGGAAATGTCTTTTGTCTTGTTGATTGCTGCTGTGCAGTGTTTGTTTTTTTCTTTCAAACTGAACTTTTCAGTGCCATCTTGTTACAATATCCACAATTTCCAGTTTTTGGTAGTGTCATCTACAAAAGTATAAAACTTTCAGCGACCAACCACAATTGGGTTCACTGACTTCCATCTCCACTCCCATCTTAAAATGGCGTAGCCATGGAGACTTACCATAAAGTAAAATATGCAATATTTGTTCTTACTATTTTAGTGCATAGATTACAGTGTAGAATTTTCAGAAGAAAAACAAGACAAAAAGAATAGTGTGAGAAAAATTGCTCTTATTTTCTCACTCTATTTTATTGGAAATTATATTTGAAATGTAGCTTGCCTGTTTTCGTGGAATTGTATTTTAGGCCTGTAAACTGGAACACACACCTGAGTGCTCAACCTTTACCGTTAGGTACTTCAAATGCTCCCCTTAGCCTGTGGTGGTGTAAATGTTACATCTGACTGGAAGAAGCTCAGGTGCACAGGTTTTGTAGCCTCAGGCAACAAGTGCTCATAAGGTTAAAGATGATTTTTCTAGATAAATTATATTAGTTAAATGCATGAGTCAACTTCGAGTCCCTCTTCCCGTTACTTGATTTTTTAGAAGAATTTTTTTTTTGTTATTGATGTTATAAAGATTTAGAAGATGTCAGGAAAAATCTATATTTATTATAATTTGATGTTTTGCGTTGTGCAACTTGTCTCTCAGTTCACTCTGGACAATGTGCCTTCAAGCTGGAACACCACCGATGTTGTGGTCATGACCATGATGGCTAATCAGACGAAACCAAAGACAAAGTTGGTAAAGGTAAGTTAGACAGTAAACTGCACGTAACTCTTTGTTTCCTTCTAAGGCACAATAGCATCTTCCTAAACTTCATTTGATCTGATCATAATAGCTCTTTTGTAGACTTTATATGATCATATATCGTAATAAAGGAGTCAATGTATGCTTGCTAAGATCCCCATAATGACAATGATAAAAACTGAATGCTTAAGCTGAAGAAAAGGCTTGCCCCAAACCTGTAGACAGACTTTGCCTCACAAAGTACCTGGGACACCAACATATCTACAGTTTCAAGTCATCAGTTGGTTGACCCATCGTCTCCAACACTCCATCAGTTCTCATATACTACAGAGATACAGTTTTCATAATTATACTAAAGCTCAGTTGGTTACAAACTGGAGCTACTTTTGAACTTTGAAATTCAAACCATATAGATATGAAAGGATTCAATGTCAAGGAATTTTTACATTCAATTTTCAAAATAGCCCTTACCTCTTGACCCATTGAGACCAAGGCATACTGGATCAAAAGAGTATGTTTTAGTGTAGCACTAAACCCCTTCACTGCTTCGTGTTTTAAATAACCAAGCACTGCTGGGGATTGGGCACAGGGGGCCATGAGGTATGAGTACATACACAGTCGAACCTGTGTAAGACGGCCACCCAATGTCAAGGAGAAAAGTGACCATGTAATAAGACAGGTGGCCGTCTTAGGCAGGGCTGATCAAGAGGAAGAAAACATTCCATTCCTTTCTGAGGTCCCAACCAAAGGTAGCCGCATTGTTGTTGTTGTTGTTTTCTTTGGTTTGTTTTTTATTTGCTTTTTCATTTTGCTGCTGCTTTTGTACAAGGGTGACAATAAAACGAAATGTGTTAAAACAAGCACATGGGTCACCACCACTCGGAGAACGAGCGACGCTTCTGTCGCAAGTTCATGTTGACGTCCATTGTTACTTTGTTACAGACTGGGTAAACAGTGACCATTCATCTCACTTACGATTTGTGAATGAGTTCTAGGCGGGGCTAATGGGTTATGAGGGATCACGCACTTACCTCACCAGCAGCTGAAAATTAATTTTTACCTATTGGTCAACAGTGGGAGGGGCCTAAACAACATGATCAGTTGGAGGGACTACCTAAAAGCAACGACTATAGGTGATTGGATTATGACGGCTCGCCCACAACACCTGAGGCCAATGCATAATTTATGACAACACGTAATGAAGTCACTTAGGCGGCCGTCTAAGACAGGTGAAATTGTTTGGTGTGATAGGAGTTGTGTGTTAAAATGTGGTGGCCGTGGCCGTATTGGACAGGTGGCTGTTTTACCCTGTGAAGTTAGCTATAGAAAAAACGCAAGGGGGGAAACGGAAAGTGGTCGTTTGTACAGGTGGCCGTCTTATAGAGGTGGTTGTAATGGCAGGTTTGACTGTATATGGCTACAAAACAGTCTGCTGACAAAATCAAGCCTGAGGCAGTCTGGAACAAAGCAGTCAGAAACAAAACAGCCAAAGGGTAAAACTATCACTATCATTATTGTGTTTACCCTTTTCCAGATGATCCCGGCACTCTCGGCTCTACGCCACAATGTCCGCTACAAGATCGTCTCAGGCAACGAGGATGGCCTGTTCTCCATGCACAAGAAGAAGGGCGTGAGCTCCCTGCACTTCACCCGTCACGTGGGTGAGGAGCGGGTGTTCCGCCTGGAGGTGCTGTGCAAGCCCGTGGAGAGCGAGGAGCAGATCCAGGACAAAGTGGTGCACCTGGAGCCCTACCTCCTGCACCTGGAGATTCATGTGGAGCTGGCCGAACGATGATAGCCAGCCTGCTAGAGATGTCATGTTTTGGTTTTGTTTCGATTTTTTTTTTATAATCACGTTTTGTTGCGCATCATGTCATTATTTTTCACATGTTATTTTGTTTGTTGTTGTTGTTGTTATTTTGTAATTCTTGTTTTGTTTTGGTTTTTGTATCATGATATTTGTTTGTAGTGCGTTGATAGTTTGTTTCACTATTGTTGGAGTTTTTTGTTGTTGTTGTTGTTCGTTAAAGTCATTGTGCCTGGTTTTGGTTGCTGTTTTTTTTTTCTTGGACATGTGTATTTGTGATATTGGCCTGATCCAAAAACCATTTTTGTTCTCGTTGTTGCATCTGTGGAATGTTTAATGGTCAGTGTAAATGGTACATGGTAGGTATAGCTCAAGTATAAACCTGAGAGTGCAAATAACAAGGGGGAAATGTAGTTAAAGTGGAAATACTCTTTGTTAAATTACAGTCTTCAGTATAGATCTGATTTGAATAGTATACAGATTTCTGTTAGAAGAGCATTCCTGTATTTGAAAGAAGACCTGACACAAAGGTTCCATTTTATTTATTATTTTTCTTTTCATAATGGCACTTAATCTCCAGTAAATTGCTAACTTTTAAATAAAACTCCACAATGTCAAGACACGGCTGTGAACAGAATAAGTTTGTCGAATTTGCATATGATTTGCGTTCCAAAGAGTACAAGTTATGAGTGATTCTGTTACACCATCACATTTTAATTTGGACTGTTTTCTTTTTACAAAAGTTCAACTAGTTACCACCTTGTTTTCCGAACAGTGCCTTGAATTATCTTGTAATCAACGATGTACAAGTGCCTTCACTTGGTCTTAGGATGCCATTTTCTAATCATGTTTGTATGCAGTATGCTAATTTGAATAATGCATAATTTGCTATCATAAATACACCAAATTTCCATATTTAATCCTTTGCATATATTTTCGTGGTCAGATTCATAAATTTTTGACTTGGAATTCAATTTGAATTTCTAACTATTACCTTTTGTTAACTTTTATTACATTAACCCTGTATTAAAAAGTTTGTTTCCTTTGACAGCCGTATCGTGACAACTCCAATGGTGAGGCACTGGGAATAGGATATATTTTTTATTTTTTTTGCTGTTATCCCCAGTCAAACAATTTAAAGAAAGTAACCGGCATTACAGTAATCAAACTTAGTGAAGCTTTCCACCTTTTTCATGTGACTCAGACTAGGATACATCTAATGAGATTTATATGAGACAGAAGAATTAAAGCTCTAACATTTGTGTATTTGAGCACTGCACAACATATCATGTTTAAAAATGATTTGCACTTATGAATACTGTACATACTGTAACAGTAAAACTTAGCTTTACCGTAGTTAAATTTTATCGTAGATCTGTAACCTTTGTGATTAGCCTAACAATTTAATGTCATTACATAGATGCCAATCGCTCCAGTCATAATACAAAACTTGATATTACTATTGCACGTGTAAAACATGACTGCGCATTGATTTTATGCTCATAATGCAAAGTATTAAAGAAATAAAAATGTAACCACTGAGCATTGTTTGTTTGCATTTCTGTAGACTTCAATTTGTTTGTTTTAGCTCGGGGGGGGGGGGGGGGGGGGGGGAGGTAACCATTTAGCAGTCTTTTTTCTTAAGATGAAGGCATGTCCTTCTAGATTGCCATTATAATTGTTAATCATGTTAAATCACCACACTCTTCTACTTGTTCAATACCAGACACCACAGTTCTTAAACTTGGGCAAGTGCCGAGAGTCTGTTTTTTTAAAACTCGAAAACACTCAACTTTGCTAGGCTGGCTATTTTGTCAGAAAAGGCCTACCTGATTTCAGAATCACAAAGGCTATTGACATATTCTATTCTGAGCTGTCCTAATGGAAAAGTTAGGCCTAAAGTTGATGCACAAAAAAAGCCATACAAAGACGCCCTGAAAATGTCTCTGAAAGACTTCGGCATTCATCCGTCAACACGAGAGAGCAAAGCTCCTGACAGACTCACTTGGAGAGCAACAGTCTAAGTGGACAGTAAGTCCTATGAGGCTTAATGAATTGAAAATGCTGAAGATAAGAGAGTAGCCCGCAAGTTGCGTGCATCCACTAGCGAATATGAAGCTATTAAATGCTCAAAGCAAACACTTCTCTACCAGAATTCGTCTTATTAGCCATAGCAGACCCAACAAGTCATTAAAACCCTCAATTCTTCTGTTTCGTTTTAGAAATGCTATTCTCCTTTGACATATGACAATGTTAGACATTATTATTATTATTGTTACTATTATTACTACATGTATTTTACTGGATTTCCATTACAAAACAGTCCACCCCCGCCTTCCCATGAGAAAAACAAGAACACCTGGGAAAGCGCTGAGAATCTCCAACCTTACAGAACACGTAAATTACCTAGGCTACGTCTTGTAGTTGTAGATAGGGCTGGATTCTGCTAGGTTAATCGAAGGCTTGCAAAGCAGCAGGCGTCTTGCGCTAGAGTCTTGCGAGCAGGATTGTGGTTTGATTTGCCTCCCGCTTGCTACCGGAGGGAACTTCCGGTGAGTTGTGACTCGCGGACAGTCCTACTGTTACTAACTTACTACTGTACTGTGTCGTGAGTCAGTTGTAGACTACCCATTATACTTCACAATGTATATGATATCAAGCAAGAGGATGAATGCTCGACAGCTGTAGGTTTGATAACAACAACATGTATCTGCTAGTTACTGTGGTTTTAAACAATAATTTGAAAATTTGAAATTTTAAAAGAAAGTTTTTTAATGTCTGTTGTCACACTGACAGGCCAACCAAGATGGCTACAGTGCTGTATGTGTTTTTTAGTGTGTTTTTTTTTTTTCCTAAGACAATGATAAAGTGTTCTTACACCATTTGAAGTGTGATTCTCAATACAATGTGCATGGAAAAAGAATGAGCTTTTAAAAGAAATTAAATCACTTGGTCTGCGTAATACAATAAACTTAACATGTCACATCACTTTTGCATAAAATGTATATTTTTGTAAAGGTGAAGAATAGTAAGTCTTGAAACGATTTTAGTATGCAAATTGTGATTCGCACAGTGTATGAGCGGGTGGAATTGTTGAGCCCTCTGGTTTGCCTGCTCCTTCCACTTCTTTTCAATACTACCACATGGTATTTCTTATTCTGCTTTCTGGTGGGTTTTTTAAATGGTTGTTTTAATGCAGACTCAGAATCATTACAACTCAAGACGAAACAGTCAGTTTCCAAAACGTCTAAATTGCGATATTGTCGGGGGG